ATGATAAACTGATTTGCTTGTAATGGGATACAGCTCATCTACTATTGAGGACTTCTTTTACTATTGTACTTCCGACCCCATGAAGAGGTTCACGTGTAGGTCGAATGGAAACACATCAATCTTTTTGTTGGCGCCCTAAAACCCACGGCCAAGGGAACTGATCATTATTTGTCGCCAAGTGGGGTGGGGGTGGGGGGGTGTCGGATTTTGGTTGTGTTGCTATATAGCTAATATATAATTATAAATTTTGAAATAATAAAAGAAGACAAGAGTATAATTTAACGTGAATGGAGTCGACCATCACACTGTAATATTTGTACTTTTTGTCTGCATGACAATATCAAAAATATAATGAGAGGGACATTTGTTTTTTTGTTGAGAAGGTGTAATTAAATTTGACGAGCCTCTGACAGTTGGAATTACAATCATAGAATGAGAATGGAATTTACACAAACAGTGGGCCTGGAAATGGCATTTGGGAAACATTTGGACAGAGACTGGGACTTACATCCCTACCCCTCCCCCATAAAGGCTGCAAAGCGATGAGGTAAAGATCCACCGCTGACCACTGATACTGAGGTACTCATTTATTCCAGCAAAGATTACAACACTTTCTGGCGCAAAACCCGAGCGAGCTTATCAGAGGTGAATACCAAAGGATGTTCGGAGTTTGAATAGCTAATCAGAGTGCACTATCAACGTCAGAGGGATTGACGAAGGACTAACGCTCGAAACGTCAGCCTTTTAACTCTTTACGATGGCCAATTAACGTTATCAACTCAGTTGATAACACTAAACTGCCCTATTATATTCTCCCACCGACGCAGCACCACAGTTTCTTTAGAAACTTATCCCCTTTATTCCTTTATCTTATAGTCGTGTTCCTCGATCATCGCAAACCTTCGGGTTCTCAGAGGTATATTCCTGACTAATTTGCGGTTATTCAACCTATTGATGAAAACTTTTCATTTCGTTTGTTGACGTTATGAGCTGGACAGGATATTTCACCGAACAACACTACCTTCTTTAGTTAAGGCGGTTGAAATAACGAGCAGTTATCGCATTAAGCTTTTGACAAAAACTGAACGAATATAGACCAGGACACAGGGGACGCGTTCAAACCTCAGGCGGACGCGTTCAAACCTCAATAGGACGCGTTTGTTACAGCTCCGAAGTAGTGTCTACAATAATACTTAGAAATGGCTGTGCCATTTTTCTCTTTCTCAAAAACACTTTATGAATATCGACACAAGTATCTTTGAGAAGAGGTGGTATTTGAAAGCAGATTCTCGTTAATGAATTGAACAATTTCCATTTGGCTAAGAAAAGATGCTCGATTTTTCAGAAGACACAAAAACTTAGCGAGAGCTTGTGCTGAGAGCTATGAATGTCTAATATTGAATTGAACAACAGATCACCTTCTTTTAAATTTATTTACAATTAGAATACGATCTTAATTCCACCAATGGTGACTTTTCGGGACGTACAGCTAAATTGACTGTTCAAACCCTCGTGACAACGAGTTACAGTTGTTACACAGACAAAAACCACCTACACCTACACCTTAGATGAGCCCTTTGTTCTGAGAATTTCGAAATAGGAAACTTGGAAGATCCGTGGACGGACTTATTCCTTTGTGCCAAAAATTAAAATTCTACCTAAAACCTTCATAAAAGAAAGTTAAAACTTAGGTTTACCTTTGAAAAGTTCTTTCAATAAGAAAGCAATTTGATTCTTACAAAAGTAAGGTTGAATCACATCAGCAGGTAATTGAAACGCTTAGTTTCTAAAAATAAAACTTATTTATTTTTATTTTTAACTTAAGACAATCGACCAACCGCCGAAGTTATGGATGATGGGAGAAAAACATTGAAAGGTTCAAACTGCAGCGCTTTGTCGGAGCAAAATAAACGCACGATCAACCGTTCTTTCGAAACTGACTACTTTGCTTGATCAACCTTATCCAGTTTTAATTAAACGTCAAAAAAAGTTTTATTTACGATTGTCACTCATGTTTAATGCACACACGAGTTAATGATTCACGCCTTGTAGCCTTGTTTGTGTCTGGAGGACAAAAGATTGCACATGTATTTGCGTAACCTTGCAGGTCATCACTTTCATTCGCTGCAAAGGAAACAGTTCAGACTGTTTTTGTTCCAATCTCGTTCCGTTCGAGAAACTTTATACAAAAGCCCTTTATTTTTTGTGTCTTCAGCTTCAGTAATGGGATCCGGTGCGGTTTGTGATTGTTTCCTTGTTTCCGCGTAAATAGTTCGGATCTACGTGCACCTGCGGAAATAAGCCGACTGACGATGACGTTTCGTTGTATCAACCGAGTTAATGATTGTATTCAGTGGACATCGTAAAGAAATTCTAATGCTGACGTTAACCGAGTTAATGATTGCATTCAGTGGACATCGTAAAGAAATTCTAAAGCTGACTTTTCGAACGTTAGCCCTTCGTCAGGATTTTTTCACATTACCAGTTCAGTTGTTAAATTCCAAATTATCTTGTAGTACACGCGCTGACGTAGCGCCACACTTTCTTAGAAATTGACGTCACGACTTCGACATTGACTTCCTCTCATTCAAGACTACGTACGACATCAGTCTTTTCAGGAGTTCCCTCGACGAACGATTTCTCCTTTCGACTACGACAATTTCTAGAAATTATTTCTCATAAGGAAAATAATGAGAACGAACTTCGAAGAAGAAAATTCCACCATATCATCAAAGTGCACCGGACGCCTTGTTAGTGTATTCGGCATTGGGGTGTCATCGCTCTTTTGCCTTTCTGGCATTTCTCTGAGTGCAGTTTTGGTCACATTTGTGATTTTGACTGAAGCATGCTCTAGCTGTCGATCCTTTCTCACCGATGGCCCGGATTCAGTCTGGATTTTTGCAATTACTGCAACGGCACTGTTAATAGTTGGCGGCTGTATAATTGTGGCATTAGTGTTCCGCGGGCGGAGACTGAAGACTCGACACATTCCATTTTCCAGAGAAGCTGTAATCTCAGAGAATCTTGCGGATGATCTGGAAAATTCCTCCATTCCTATCCTAGCTTATAATCATGTGCCTCACCAGATTTGGAGCGGTTTGCCAGACTACTTCACTGCTGTTCAAAATATTACCGCAGTTTGTTCATCTTCAGACACAGCCGCAATCCAGACGGACAGTTTCCCCGAAACTCCTCCACCTTCTTACGAGCAAGCGCTTGAAATGATGAACAGGCATTAAGGTGACTGCGTAAAAGGCAGATCACATCCATAGAGCATACCGCGAAAGACTTCCAGACTCTGAAACTGATAACATCATATCAAGACGAACCGTAGTTATCCATTTCGCGCTTCAAGACTTGCAAAATGAAAGACTCCTAGCGCACATAGGTACACTACTCAAATTAAACCCTAGAAATATTTGTATTGGTAATAACATGATTTTGAGAGAGCAGTTTGGTGTTAATAAGCACAAGTCAATTTTTCAAAGACAACGCAATTGCACGAGCCCGTAGGGCAAGTACACTTTGTAGTCTCTACAAGTGCTTAATTTCAGCCAATCAGATGCGCGTAACTTTTTCATGCACATTATTAAGTTAATTAACTAAATAAGCTCTTGGATTGCGTCTACTCGAAGAAACAAGCCTTTCCAGCGGTTCTACCATCGGTGATGGTTACATTTTTAAATTCATCTCTCTTACTGGATTCAAGGAACTTGAACATTTTATAGAAAATTTCACTGGCTGACAAGTGAATTCTACGTTAAATTTCACGCGAAAAACCGATATCGCACAAATCGCGAAGCGATGAGTGCGATATCGGTTTTTCAAGTAAAATTTAACGCGGAATTCACTCGTCAGCCAGTGAATTTTTCTTGAATCGCGTAATTGAATAAAAATAAGAAAAAAAGAAAACAGTAATAAAATTGTTTGTTTTTATCCTGAGTGCTTCTCAGAAAGCCGTTTCAAAGTCAACTGTCAGAACTGTCATTGCGTTAGCGAATAGGCCAAGGTCAGTCGTACAAGACGTCGACAACTTTATTTGGACCTTATGCTTGTTTTTACATTTGTTTTCAAACTTTTCAAACGAGCTTCACACTATCTTAAAGGACAATAGTGGTATTTCACTGAGTTCACAAGCCGTTTATCTTTAACATCTTTTTTCAAATTTCCAAATCATTTGCTTGAGAAGGAAAATAATTTACACCTTTTACCTCTTTGGTGGCAAAACGGAAAGACATGAAGTGTCCAAGTGAAAGCAATGAAAGTTTAACATCGTGATTAAAGGTATTTATTTCTTCTTCTGTATATATGACAATCGACCCTGGCACTTCTTTCGTTGTCGCTTCTTCGTCTTGTTTGGTTGAACTTCCGCTTGCCATTTCCTGGGCCGTGTTCACAGGATTTTCTCGCTTTGATACGGAACTTAAGCACAAACGTGCTGAGTCGCGGAAGGCAGCCGGAAGCTGGAAAGTTTGGTTTGAAATGCTAAGAAAAAGACCTTCCAGCTTATCCACTGGCGTTAAAGCGAGCCAGAATTAATTCATTTAATCTTCCTGTGGCTATCCGTGTCTCAAAAAGGTCACTGCTTCAATTTAATGGTAGGTTCGAGTGGATGACTTCGAAATATAGTCAGCTGTTTCCGAAAGGATTCATTTTGCTGGTACTTGCGCGCGCATCGCTGACATAGCTGCACGAACGAATTGTATCGAACACTGAAATGATTTTAAACCATTGTTTCGCGTCCCTATGCGACGTGTACAACTGCATTTAGGCCATAGTAACGTTAAATGTAAATCCGCGAATCTGCGAGGTTTTCTGTTGCTATCGTTTAGTGTAACTAGAAAAACTTACATTCAACGGAAAGGTTTATTATCCTTTGGTTATTAACAACTTGTAGCATTACATCGTGTAGCAAAAAGTGAGTTGTTTTTTTTTAACCTTGAGTTCAAACTACTTTAAAAATTTCCAAAGTCAGACGTCTTGTTACATTTTTTAGTATCTCAGGATGAAATCTCTACTGCAGCCAAACTCGTGATCACACTTTGCACTGTATTTGGCTTTTCACTTTGTTCCGCAGAGGGTATGTCTTTTTCGTGAAAACAAGCTCTTGTTTGGTAGTTCGAAAAATGAGCCCTCAGCCATAATTCTACTTTTTCCGAGGATCGGAGAGTGGTGGACAAATCTCGTTCGATGTAAGGTGCAAGCCACCCTTGATGATATCTTTTTCCGGCTTGATCGATGAATGGCTTTGAGGCCTCATTGATATCTGCGTTTGGCCATAGTTCGACTTTTTCCGAAGATCTTAGAAGCATGGGGATGTCGTGTCCAATTTTAGATTCTTGCGGTAGCTGACAATTTTCAGGTTCTTCGGCCGAGATTTTTCCGTTTCCGTTGATTCCCGTAGCATCTTCGTAAATAGCCGAGCCCTGAGAGTCACTCATATTCTGCGGCGATTTTCAGTTGGCAAGTAATTTTTCATTTCATCAACGAGAGTATACTTCGAGCACTTTTAAATGGAAATACAGCACAGAGTTACCGAGTCAGCCTTTGTGGTGCTTCGTCACAATAATCAAACAAAGATCGTTACATGCGTGAGCATTGCAAGTGTCGTAATAATCATTCGTGGCTACATGACAGCGAAATAGGAACATAACGACTAAACACGACGTAATTCCTTGGATCTTGCTGTGTGGTCTTAAGATTGAGGGGACGTATTTCGTAAGATAGTACGGCATTTGAACGGAAGTCGTATTCAGAGGCAATTAACTCAGTCCAAAGTTGTCACTCGGTACTGATGGAATACTTTGGCCCGGCGTGTCGGTGGCTAGTGTTGGATATTTGTTAAACCGTGAGGCTCCACGTCGGTGAATAGTTGTTAGATATTGCAAAATTTATCTGATAGCTTCGGTCCTAACGTGTTTACTGCTCTTCTGATGACATACCTAGTCTTTAATGTTTTTATTTAAATAATTATTTGCCTAAGGCGAAGGAAGTCGGGACTGAAAGAGTTATGCTTCATAACATTTAATCAATCACACACCATGGTTTCCCACAAGGACAAAGGTCAAACAACCTTGCACGGCTTTAAAACGATTTTTAAAACAATACTGCTTTGTGATATTTATGGTCTGGCTCACTGTAGAGTCTGTGGCTCAGTGAGAGCATCGGAGCACAGAACCCGAAAGACTGACGTTCAATTCCTTAACCCTTTAACTCCCAGATCAATTTCTTAATTCTCCTTGCTGTCAACCATACAATTCTTATTATGATAGATCAGAGAATTAGTATTGCTTCAACTAATTATCCCCAAATTGATATTTTTCTTTATTCTCATCGCTTATCTGGTTGATATTGTATTGATATTGTTAGGAGAAATTCTGTCTTGATCACTCATGGGAGTTAAAGAGTCAAGGGAACTCATCTTTCTTAAAGATTCTTTCTGTCAGCCGGGAAATGTCTTTACAACTCTTTGAGTACTAATGGATTTACTCATGACACGCCTCAAAGTCAATGCAACTATCAACATTTCTGACGTTTGGTCTTTTTTCGATTACTTTCAGCATTTTTTTTTTAGTTTTGCCGGTCAACGCCTTTGTTTCATTCGTGGAATAGTTCAAATTTGAAATGGCACCGGAAATGTGCGAGAGAAACACGCCGTTTTATCTAAAAGAGCGCAAACTTACGCTAATACTCCATCATACCAAAGCATAAACATGTTTTAAAGCTCTTTTGTTAAACTCGGTTTGAAATTGTTTTCTACATGGAAGCTTCTTAAAACCAATATTTGTCGACATTAAATTTAACACACTTAAAATACAAGTTAGTGACTACTTGAAACCTATGGAAAATTCAGTTTTTAAGTTCTCTGTTTCTCATTTTCACTGGGTAAAACCCGTTTTAACTAAATTTGTTTTGCTGGTGTGAATGGGGTACAAGATTAAATTTTTAAAAAAAATGTAGTCATGGTATGGAGTTTCTCATCCACCCTAAAAAGCTTTTCTTTACTCGATTGCTTTACTTGGACTCCACCAAAGATGTCCATCGGTCAAACACAATCTCTTTCCATAACGTGGATCAGGGAGAAGCGTGTCATGGCTCCGATAGAATACTTATTCCCCTGCTTCTTTCGAATTCGCGTGTGTAGTTGAAACGGTTCATTGCTTCCGTCAAATTGAATTGAAAAAAGTAAAAAACCCGATCTACAGAGGTGAAAGCGAACACTCGATATTTTTTTCTCATCCACGATATTTTCATCTCATCCACAAAATCAAGAGCGCGAACTTCAGCCAAAACTTGATTTAATGTAGTTTATAATGGTAATAGGACCGTGTGGAGCACAATTCGGTCTGTAATCATACGAGTGATTTACAAAATCGGACGACCGCGAAGAGGGAGTCCGATTTGTTTATCACGAGTATGATTTCCGACAGAATTGGACGACAAGAAATCCTGTTACCAATTAATCGTAACCATTTCAGTTTCCGAAAAGACAAATACACCTAGAACAAATATATCCAGTAAGGACAATGTCTTTAGTTATATATTCCTCCATTTTGGAAATTGCCTTGTTTTTCTTTGGATAGATGGTTGTTGCTATGGTTATTGTGATCAATTCTGTGATTGGTGGATTTAGCTGAGTAGACGTAGAATGATTGGCTACTTCAACTGTCCGATTGCAGGGGCCCGATTACAGCAAACTGTCTGATTACAACTGTACATAGTGACTAGTGAAAAATGAAGCAGGTGATGCACCAATAACATTTGAGGAAATTGTAATGGTTATGATTAACGATGAAAAAAATACTAGCATCTAAAAGTTCTACTCGCAGTGAAAAAAGTAGCCAAACGTTCGCGGTTTTAATCCACCTGAGAAAACGGTCGTGGAAAATTGATTTTAATGATTTGCACTCGAGGAAAAAATAAAATCAAGAGCTGTATCATAAGGAAAACAGTTCCTTGCGAAGAGTTCCTTCATTTACTAATTTTTTCAACCGTAATCAAGTTTTTCAAACTCGTACAAGTTTGTCCAAAGTATACCTTCCTTTAGGTTCACAGCGACTCAAATTTATCAAATCCATCAACCTCTCCATCTTTGAAAACCAAAATCTTTTCACAGTCTCTAATGGTGTTCAAACGGTGTGCTATAGTAATGACAGTGAAGTCCTTCAGTTTATCGCGCACTACTTTCCAGATGGTTTGTTCCGTTTCTGGATCCACATGGGCAGTAGGTTCGTCTAATATGATGATCCTGCTTTTCTGCAGCAACACACGAGCCAAGCAAATCAACTGCCGCTCCCCAACACTGACATTTGCTCCATTTTCCATCAACTCGTGCTCCAACTGTCCTTTCAAATTTTCTACAAAATCTTTCAGCTGCACATCCTCTAGAGCTTGCAAAAGATCAGCGTCTTGATAATACTCCAAAACATCCAGATTACTTCTCAACGATCCACTGAAAAGGACAGGATTTTGGCCAAGAACAGAGATGCATCGCCGGGCCTCTTGGATGTTCATCTCGTTTATTGGGACATTATCAATCATGATTTCTCCATCAGCATCAGGCATGCGCAAAAGAGCTGCTACAAACGATGACTTTCCTGCACCTGTGCGGCCAGCAACGCCGATTTTTTCTCCCCCTTTGATGCTTAAGTTTATATTCTTTAGCACTTGAGGTCCCCCTGGATAGTAAATCAATGATACATCTCTAAATGTGATACTCCCTTCATTTGGCCAGTCTTCCCAGGGGAGTCGCTTCACTTCGTATCCAGGCTCAGAGTCAAGCCTGGTGTAGGTGATGATTCTTTCAACTGAGGTCATATAATTCTCCACATCAGAGGTTGTTCTGACACAGTATTGAAGCCAGGTCAGCGACTGAATGGCGTAAACAAAGGAAAGCCCAGCAAAAGCTATAAAGGAAACATTAACCCTTTAACTCCCAAGATCTCATTAGTAATTCTCCTTACTGTCTGCCATACAATTCTTGTAATGTTGGTTCAGAGAATTTGGTATCGGATCAACTAATAATTCCTTAATTGATATTTGTCTCTATTCTCATCACTTGTCTGCTTGATATTGTATTGATCTTGTATAGAGAAATTTTTTCTTGATCACTGGTCGTTAAAAAGGTTAAGAAAGTAAAGAAAAAGAAGTAAAGAAGCATTTAAAGTTCGAGTAATTCGTGGAAAATATGAAATAATTGATCCCAGGGAAAACATAATTCAAGTTGATTAATCGAGAACTACGTGTAGAAAGTAATAATATTTGTTTAGTTTACCGGCATTTTGAGCTGTCAACGCGCCTGCTACAGTGGCTGCACCAACCAAACAGGTAGCCATAAGATCAAGGCGCACACCGAGCCATCTGCCGCTCGCCTTCACCAAAATATATGACTGGTTATGAATATCTTGATATCTGCGGAGGACAATACGAATATTTCACTCAGTTCTGATCAGCTGCAGGCCTGAGTCAATTTGGAACGTGATTCGGGTAAGCAAACTTTAGATCGAAGTGGTGTTCCCAGTGGTAATTGGCTTTCAAATACATATTCAGTAAACAGAAATGAGAAAGGAAGACGTCCAAGTAAATGGGTAAATGGGATAATAATAAATAATAAATAATTAATTAATTATAATAATTAATTAATTATAATAATTAATTAATTATATTAATTAATAATTAATTAGTTATAATAATAAATGGGATAAATTTAAAGCCAGGGTAAATGGGAGAGAAGAAATAGCCTGCTTACAAAGCAAGCCACGAGGGATTTAGGAAAAAACATCACGCATCCTGTTCTGAAGACGTTAGCTCTATCCTTCTTTCTTATATCAAGGCTTGCTCGCAAAGAGGACCGAGCAAAGAGCTGAATGTTCGGCAAGGACTCCAATAAAGAAAATTTTAATCTCCCTTTTTCCTTTAACTTTCCTTAACACAAAGGCGTCCTCTCGCATTTAATTCTAATTTTTAACTAGCACTCTCTTCACTGACTCTCCTTCAAGCAACATTGCCTACAACAAAACCCAGTCACCAAATACCTGTAAAATGTATCAATAAAATCACTCTGTCTTCCTCTTGTCCGAATTGTGCTCAGTCCTCTCACTGTCTCTGAGAAATGAGAAAAGACTGGGCTGCGGCAAATTGACTCCAAACGTTTCAGTTCTCTGGCACTCTTCATGTAATACTTCGAAATGTACACGAATAACATGGTCAGCGGAATAGCAACTAACAGAAGCCAGGGATTTGACGCAATTGGTATGATTACAGCAGCACACATCAGCAAGAGAATTTCCACCGCCAACAGAAATGTTTTGGGTAACAGTTCGTCCGCACAGCCTATGTCATTAGAAAAGCGATTTAGGATTCTTCCGGCGGGATTTGAATCAAAGAACAGAACTGGAGCTTGTAAAATTGCCACAACCATTTTGTCGTGAAGACGATCAGCGCATCTCAGACACACCATAAGGAATCCGTATGCTCGAACGACGGCAAATATAAAGCATGCAGCCACCAGCATTCCATAGATAGCCAGATTCGTTTCATCTCTCTGCTCATCTGGGGTTTGCTTTATGAGAAAAGGAAGCCACAGATCAGGAGCAGCTACCACAACTAAAATAGATTCAAAACAGAAGGATGTTAGAGAATGAGTTACCTTTAACAGATGGAACCCAGGCCATTGCGATCACCACGAGGTAACAAACACGTAATAACAAAGTTTTTGGTATTTGATCAATATCATCACGACTTACCTTGCGTGATAATACAGAAACAGAGCACTACAATGATAACTAAGGGATGTAGTCCACTTCTAAAGTAGTCCCAGTAGAGCTTGAATGTCACCACTCCAACTGCACGATCTTCTTTGGACATTTGGAGACACTTTCCTTTATTGAAAAGAGGTGCTCTTCTTCCACGCTTTCCAGTATTTACCGAACTTGAATCACTATCCCAGCCAAGACTCTCGTTCAAGTCACTATTGTCATTTAGGGATGTTTTATGGAGTGGGTTGATGGTTGAACTAATAATGCCTTTTTCTTGGAGCTCATTGAAACGTCCCTTTCCCAGCAAGCGCCCTTTGTATATCACAATCACTTCATCGGCATCTTTCATGTGTTGTTCATGATGAGAAGTCAATAAACGGGTTTTGTCCCTTAGCAGCTCTTTGATGCATTTGTCAAAAATATGTTGTCCTACTTTCGAGTCAACAGCACTCAGCGGATCATCTAATAGATAAAGATCTCCGTCAGCGTAAACTGCACGAGCTAAACTCACTCTCGCCTGCTGCCCTCCACTCAGTACCTCGCCACGTTCTCCTACAACTGTTAGGTCACCGTCAGGAAAGCGCTGAATGTCTTTTCTGAGAGCGCAGGCCTCGAGTACGCAGGCGTACTTGGTTTCTACGTATGGCTGGCCAAATAAAATATTTTCTCGTATAGTTCCAGAAAAAATCCATGCGGTCTGTGGCAAATAGACGATCTTTGCTCGATTGGTTATCGTTCCACTTGTTTCTGAGATTTCTCCGGCGATCACTGACAGAAGAGTGGACTTTCCACTACCCACTGGCCCGGTGATAACTGTTAAACTTTTTGACGGTGTGATGAACTCGATGTCCTGGAGAATGAATTTATGTTCACGATCAGTTCCTTTGTATGTTAAGTCTGATACACAAAGTGGTGATGGCTTTTCCAAATCTTTTATTTCAACAGCAGAGAAATCAAGGTCCGTATTTTCTTTTCGTTTGACAGAGTTAATCTCGGGGTCATATCTGTCCTCTTCATGTTCATCTTCGGAATTTCCAGGCAGTTGGTCTAAAAGAAGAAAGTCTTCGATTCTGCCTAAAGAAACATAGGCATCGTTTGCTAAGAGGAAACCAATAGCCATCTCATTGCAAGTACTTCGCCTGAGAATGCCGACATAAGAAAGGAGCACAAAAACATTCACAGGTGTGATGGTCTGACCAGTCAGCATCATAGTGAGGACTGATACCAAGGTTGCCATAGCCTGTACACTGAACAGCAAGCCATCAACAGTTGCCTGAAGAGCATTCTTCAGATGAATGGCGCTAATTTCACGCCTAAAAATAATAATTATATAATGGTTAGTCCAAGTTAGTAGGGGCTTAAAGTTTATGTCTGGGCTTTGGGACCCCTTAGTACCCGGCAAAAATTTTGATGCACACTGTAACATTAAAGGCGCAGAGATCAAAATTTTCGTAGGACGCCTTAAAAAAAATAAGCCCATTTCCAAAAGAAAATGTAGAAGGCTAATATGTCAATACCTTGGTACTCTAATTCAGTCACCACGTAAATAAGCTGAAAATCTCGATAGTACAACCATTAACTTAGTTTAAGAGATTCAACGAAGGAAAAGCTTTTTTTTTTCAGTGCTGTGCCCTTACTTTCGTATGTCACGAATTTTTTCTTGGAATTTATCCTCCCACGCATGCGTTTTTATGGCACGTATCCCTGAAACCACCTGACTCATCAGCGAAATGCGTCGATCGGACACAGCCGCTGTACGCAGACGCACTGCAGCGCTGGCATAGGATAACTCAGCGAAATATGGAACAAGTAAGAGGAGGAAAATGGCTGCCACGATGGCTTGCCAGCCAATCATGAAACCAAGAAGAGGCACTACCACCACAATTTCGAGGACATTGAACGGTAATCCAAAAAAATGTGGGAAAGTTTGATTCTCCATTCTTTTGACATCATTAGATATCAGGTCAAGGACGTGCCCTGTCGTAAATTTTTGAAGTGTTTCTTTGCTTAGAAGAAGGCTCTGCAAGAAAAGAAAGAAACCCAACATTTTAATAAACTGAAAATGACTCTGGCAAGCTAAGCTAGTGGTTTTGGGGAAAATGAGGTCACTTAGTTTCCTTCACCTAGTATCAATGAATTTTGGAATACTCCGCGTTTACAAAAATTTTATGTTTTTCACATCAACGCACCGAAGCTCAGTTTATATTGTCGAATATTAGGTTTTTTCTTTCGAAATATGGTTTTTTGAATACATTTGTGCTACTTCCAATTGACCCAAAATGTTACTGACAACAGGGAAAAGTCTATGATATAAATTAGTGTTGGACATAGGTAGGAGAGAAAGCTAATAAAGCGTACCACATCTTTCCTTCAGTTCTTCTTTATTATCTGTGTCTTGTGATCAATCACCACAGCTACATGCCATTTCTGCTAAATTTTAATAACAATAGATATAACTCTCTCCCTTCTTTGCTCTTGAATTTCTTCAAGCTCTGGATTTGCTAAGCCTCTTAATCTAGTGTATGCTAGTAAATACTCTGTTGGTAAGTGTGTGTGATACGTGTGACTAACCTAAGTTGTCATAGTGAAAACGAAATTGAACAGAATGTTTGCCGGAGTGTACTTACCGTACGGTACACCAAACCTCTTAAGGCACTGCTAATTCGGATCCCAAACAGCTCAGACCTGTAACCTTTATGATGTAAACCGAAAGTTCCAACCAAAGAAATGAAACATAAACCCAATGCGCAGATATAGTAAAGAGGATTTTTTTCTGTTTCAGGTGACATTAAACTGGAAATAAGATATCCAAGAAACAATGGATAAAGTAGAAGATAAGTTGAACATAAGCCCTGCCCGAACACAATAACCAAGAGATCGTCAACGGAGAGCATCTTGAATAAGCATTTCCAAAGCTTAGGTCTTTTTCCATTTTTCTTGCTTTTATCTCTCTCCTCGTTCCAAATTGCCTGAAGTTTGTTAGTCAAGAAGAAGGCCGAGTCATCCTTCGTCAAGGGTAAAAAGTCCTCCTGATATAAAGGTCGTTGAGCACCTGTCTTGAAGATACTGTTCATCCATTGATAGAGAAGAGCGGACAGATAGCCGGCTTCTTGGGATTTTTCTTCATTTTCGACTCTGGAGTTTTTCCTGTATCCACTTCTCTGTGTCATTGGGATCTAATCACCACAAAATCCAACCACCTAAAAGATAAGGAGTGTCTAACGTCACTTCCGGTTTGCGACATCATCTTTATATATCGAACATGCATTTTTTCATCGCACATTGTGTGATGAATCACATATGTTTCAGCAAAACGGAAAGTTCTTTCGTTTTAAATGTCTTTCAGGCCCAGATCAGACGTCGTGCTCCTGCGGTGTTGAGGTTGATTCAGAAATGAAGTTCAAGAAAAGCACGGCGTCTGTTCTAAACTCTTCGGCAATCTCTGCCGTGTTACACGACCCTGGTGCGATAGCGATTCAAACGTCGTGCCTTGTAAAACCACGCCGTGAAGAGAAAAACGCTTACTCAATATTTGTCACGCAATATACGGCTTCGTCTAACTTCAATTTTCAACAATCGTCAAGAGTGACTTTTGACCAAAAGATAGTCTGCGGCAGGTATATTAAAGCGCCCAGTGACTCTGTATGATAATTGAGTTGAACATCCGCCTGGCTTTATTACAATTGGCCATTTTTTGTCCCCGTTGCGCATAACCGTTATCTTTTCCAAATATTTTTATCATCTTACCCTTGAAAGCTTATTTCGATTACATTACAAAGCCATTTGTTACAGTAAATAAAATTTTCTTCACAGGACCTTATTGCTGTCCTTATTCTGTTGGAAAAATTGTCGCTGCCTAAATTTAAATAACGCTACCTGAGTAAGAATTTAGAGACCCACAGTACAGTACTAAGTTTACGCAACGTTACACTTGGGGATGTAAGCGTCTTGTGGGCTGTTTTGACTTTTTGTAAAATGAGTAGCCTAAAGGTTAGATAAGAATCTAGCACCAAACAAAGTATGTCACTGTAAGGACAACGTTCACAGTGAGAGCAATTCGATGAAGCCGTATCTTGCGTGACATATTCTGAGTAAATACGGGCGCTTGATTTGCATAAATGTATGACGTCAGCTGCAAATCAGCAATTGCATAAACAGTCATAATTTATGCATCGTGTTCTATTCGGCATTTTACATGCCTCTGCCATGGCAAATAAAATTCATAAGTTATGTTTCTATATTTTAGCGGTATTTCGTTCTTGCGGGAAGTTACGGGTTGTTTTCAGTAGGACAATTTTGGCTAGATAAAGTTGGAAAAGTCCGGAAATTCAGTGAAAACAGTTCGTCTTGAGTTTTGCGAGTTAAGAATACACGCTGTTTTCATCAGAGAAAACAAGCGATTGTTATCTAGACTATATGACCGGAAATTCACGCCAAGTTATACTACCACTTTATATACCTATAATTTGTCCTGGTAAATGCCGCAACCGATCGCATCGCGCGTAGTGACAGACGCCTGCCATGTTACTTACCAGACGCTCCTGTCATGGCTCAATTTGCCTTGTGGTTTATTAAAGTTCGGAAAATGGTTGACGACTTCAATAATGCTTCCCGTTTTTACCGATTTACCATCCCTACGCATCGGCGAGGACCACACTTATTTCATGGCACTGGCGTACAGAACCAGTTCAGCCAATCCACTGCATTTTATGCCGCATGTTTCTCCCGTGCCAAGTTCCGAGGCGCGCACAGGTGAAAGCAGCTCAACAGAAATCGGTGACCAGATTGGTCCGAAAATCAGCCCAAGAGAGGTCATCAAGAACGCTTCGTCTCCCACCATTTTTGAAATGTGCGCGCTTTTGTAATTTGAATTGTCTGAGTCAGCGGGTTAAATTTTGGGTCAAATTTCCTGATGAAAACAGATGCAAATATTGGTCTGTAAACAAACGCCTATTAAGAATGTTCAGCCAGTTAATCGGCCTAGTGAAAAACGCAATCACGAAAACAAATCCCGAATTTTGAGCGACTCCGGCTCGTCTGAATTAGAGTCCTGCCTCTGCCGTGCCAAGGTCGAAGCTAATTCCAATAAGTTCGGTTTGGCAAAATCACTTGGTCTGAACTGGGCCTCAGTTTTACTGAACATCTTTAGTTTTATAGATGTCTTCAGCTTCATCAGACATATTGAACTGTATCCTCGAAATACGCGCATTTTATATTTGTCCAAAAAGGGCCTCCATATTGATCAGTGCCGCGTAAAGATATAGTTTACCTACCTACATTTTAACTTGAGGACAGACAACAAGCAATTGCAGCTGAACAAATTGCGTCGAAACGATTGTGCATGATAGATGTTCAGGCCAGCAAGATTTGTATCATAATTAGGTCACCCTTAGCCTCACTCCTGTTCAAAGGCTTGGCAACCAAGCACACGACTGCAAATGGACTATTATGCATTTATTAACCCTGTTTCGAAGTTTCTTTGCTTTGCGAGGATAAGATCCGATGCACAAAAAAATAAAGGACCCGCATTTTACGTCAGGTTGACTGATGGTACTTATGTGGGTTCCTGGTACGGTTGACTGACATCACCATTGACCAAACATAGACAGTGAAATCTAATTAACGATGAAACGATGCAAGAAACCTCCATCTTCCGCCTTTCTTCTGCTATCAAATAGGCCGACATCGAGAGCCCTCAATCCCAAATTCTAAGTGATGAGGAGGGGTCAGCCTTTTCCCATATTGAAATTTTGATTTGTTTGCTTGTCTAAGGTAAAATAAATGCAGCATTTAGGCACTAGAGTGACGTCACATGGTTCATTGCCACGCTCGACCTTAGCGCCTTGGGTGAAATAATCGAAGGCCCCGTGAAAATAAAGGTAATCCGCCATGTTGTTAAGCAAGTTTGAAAACGGTGGTGGAAATAAAAGCATTGTTCTTTTTCGGAATCGAAGTCAAGGCTAAAACTTAAAGGTGAAGTCTTTTTGTTTTCGACGATGTTTAGAGAGAACCAAACGGTATTAAGGTGCTTGAATTTCGGGAAATTCGACCTGAGTGCTTTTCTTCTAGTTCATCAATGAATCGAATTTGTCGAATGCGTCGACCTCTCCGTCTGTTAAAACCAAAATCATTCCTCAGTTTTGAATGGTAATCGCCGCTGAGTCCTCACGTTTATCACGCACTACTTTCCAGATGGTTTGTTCCATGTCTAGATCTACATGCGCAGTGCGTTCGTCTGATATGACGATTTTACTTTTCTACAACAACACACGACCTAACTCGAGTTGGTTTCTTTATTTCCACTTGCACTAGGTGGGTATCCGGAACAACCTCAGAAAATAAATCATGAAATATAGGGTTAAAACAGCTTGCGTCAGACCAAATGGTCAGCAACTGCATGACAGTTTTAAGTAAGTGAAAATAAAGTGAATATTTTTTCCACTGCCGGTTGTTTTCAGTTTGCGTGTACAGTTCAAACGGTTGATTGCTTGTTTGGCGCCAAGCAATATAAGTTATAAAAACAGATCTGATGAAGAGAAACTGAAAGTTCGACATTCATGCCCCATTCGCGCTCTTTTAATTACTAAGCAAAATCGCGCACTTGAACTTTACTGTAATTATGATAATAATAATTCATAATGATGAAATACCAGTACGTAAAGCAAACAGGGATAAAAATAGCCATTATTAGCGTTTTCAATCCACATCAGCATAGTTTGATGGGGACAATTCGCAGAAAACTTTTTTGACGCGAAGTTGTAGGACACAACGCTTTAATTCAGATCAACTCGTGATTGTGTACAACATTCAGATTACAAACATGTCCACCCTTCCACCATGTGTTGCCTCAAATTGATTTACGCACAGGCGCCCAAGCTCCAGCTGTGAGATGATCATCTTGTGAAATAAGAGTGATGGCGAAATTATAAGAGTTTGTGTGGGAATATTTACGACCGCTCTTATGAATAAAAAAGAGAAGCTTCTCTTATGTAAATTTAGAAATGGATACCTCGCTAAAATGGGCTCTATTCAACACAGTAAGCGGTCAGGTAGCAAGCGATAAACTGTGGAAGTAAGGTGAGAGGTATTTTTATTGAGAATTTGACATTTTTTTAATTCTTAAGAGCGATCTTAAATATTCCCATATAAACTCATAATTTCGCCATGACTCCTATTTCGCAAGATGATCATCGCACAGCTGGAGCTTGGGCCGCCTGTGATCTACGCCTACGGTAAAAACTGAACAAAGAAAACCTACATTGACAACACATCGGGGCAAAAGGAAATTGTAAACCTCATACTTACACATTCTGTGCGATAAACGTGGGAAAAGTAACAAAAACTGTAACAAACTAACATAGCAATCGCAGTCCCCGACACGAAACTACTTCTAAGACAAAAACCATGTACTATTGAGCCACGTGACCTAATCAATATCAGTTCGTTCATTCGGCCGCTTGTCGGCCCCAACATAGTTAATTATCTATTCTACTAACTTTGATCCAGCAACCTCTCTAGAAAAGTAAATAAAACAGTGTGCTTCTACTAAAAATTAAATGAAGAGTCTACCGAGGAAATAACAATTCCTTGCTAACATTTTCTTTTTTTTCTGCGATGTTCATAGTCCTGTTACCCAGATTTTGCAACTAGAGCTATTTAATAATAAGAATCTAATACCTCTTCATCTTTGAAAACCAAAATCATTTCACAGTCTCTAATGGTGTTCAAACGGTGAGCTATAGTGATGATAGTGAAACCCTTCGGTTTATCACGCTCTACGTTCCAGGTGGTTTGCTTCGTGTCTGGATCCACATGTGCAGGAGGTTCATCTCATGTGATGATTTTGCTTCGCTGCAGCAGCACACGAGTCAGACAAATCAATTGCCGCTCTCTCCTACACTGACATTAGCGCCATTTTCCATCAACTCGTACTCGAGCTGTCTATCCAGATTTTCTACGAAATCTTTAAGCTGAACATTTTCAAGAACTTGCCCTAGATCAAAATATTGAAAGTTGTTCAACACATCCAGATTTCTTCTCAAAGATCCACTAAAAATTAATAGGATGTTAGCCAAGAACAGACATACAGCGTCGGACTTCTTAAATGCTTTTGTCTTTTATGCTCGTATCTCCAGTCATGAACTGTCCATTAGCGTCAGGCATGCGAAAGCTTCCTTGCACTCGTGCGACCAGCAACACCGATCTTTGCTACTCCGTTGGATGTTGAGATTTATTTTATTCAGCACTTGAGGTCCCCCCGGATACTACGTCATTGATACATCTCTGAATGTGATACTTTCATCGCCTGACCAGTTTTCCGGGGGAAGTACGTCATTCCACTTTGTATCCAGGCTCAGAGTCAAGCTTAGTGTGGGTGATAACTCTTTCAACTGACTTGATGTATTTCTCCACATCAGACAGCGACACTTTTCTGACGGAGTACTGAAGTATGGTCGCAGACGGAATGACATAAACAAGTGACAGTCGAGCAAAAACTGAAAAGAAAACATTTGAACCAATATTTCCTATTGATTAGGAAGATGCTGAAGACCAGAAGTACAAAAACCGCCAAAGATATAACTTTTAATCATTATGGAAGGTTGCTGTTTTAGGATTGTGATCGGTTATCAGCTGATTTATTTTGCACTTTCAAGGCAGCTTACTCGTCTTTCCTGTGTTATTGGACGAGTCCTTTACATGCAATGTTGGATGCACTGACTTGAGATCCATAAGCTGAATGGAAATCAAACCCGTTTATTTGAGAACAGTCAAAGCAGTTGGGCTAAAATTAAAAAAAACATTGATGCGGAAGTAAACTAAATTCTTTGTCGGTTGTTGTACGGATCTAGAAGGAGTGTTTTAGAGTTGAAGGATTTTAAAGGACCAAGTCTCGCGAGTCTAGTGTCTCATGAGCGCGAACAAGCGGGACGAAGGCTTCGTCGTGGTGGTGCTAGTCTCTAGCGACACTGTGACCGTGCATTCAGAGTAAGAGCCGACTGGGGACAAGTCAGTCAAAGGAGTACGTTCTCATGGCATGAATGATTTAACCGCGACATGTCTGACATTTCCCTGTGGATATTGCCCAGGAATATCACCGCATCTCGCTATCTTTCTAATTTTAATCCATGCATTGGAAAACAAATATTGCCTCTGAATCTCTTCCTATCAAACGGTTTTAATGAAAGACGAATTTTCAGAAGAATTTGAATATTTTTACAGAAAAACAGGCTAAGGGGCACTGCCAAGATTTTCCGGTGGGGTGGAGGAGAGAGATCGCAGTTTATAGAGTTTCTGCGCACCCTCCATGGATTTTTTTACATCGCTGCTCTAAATGTCTCACCCCTCTATATCTTCCTCCCCCCTCCCCCCATGGTCCTACTACCTATGAGGAAAATAAGCTTTCAAAGGGCTCTCAAACTTAATTTTAATGTCATGGCTCTTCTTTCAAATCTTTATTGTTATTGCCACTTTCTCTTTAATGTATGCACTTAGACAGCATTTCATTATCGTGTTAGTGCAAGTTTTGATCAAAGGATTTGACTTTCACACTTAGTGGCAGTATTTCCCTAATCGAACTCGTGATCAAAAGTATTTTGCGGAACCAGTTCTTTGTCTGACTAAACTATTGCACTAATAAAACTAATTACAAAAAATTGAATCGATGATTGTACCACGCAGAAGCGATTTTTTTGTTCCTTATACAAAGCCTTAATACCTTGCGCTCTCAGGAAGTTAACAAAAATAACAGGAATAGGATGTCAGCGTTGTGTTTGATAAGCCTTTTGTGATCGTCTCAAAAGAAAACAGTTAATCTTTTCAAATTAAATGTCACGAGTCGGGTTTAGCACGAAATATGATGCTGGTTAAAATCGAATTTAACCGCAATTTACCTCATAAGTGATCCTTTTCTGAGGAAATAAAAACATTTTGAAATAAATTTTAGAATATGTAGTGAGATAAAATTCAAGTACTGAAGCCTTATGGTATCCCCAATATGAACGTATCCACCGTCATGATATGTTTTGTTCTTCCCTCCCCTTTCATGGAACTTCGCTCACGCTGGAGAAGATTGCCCTCAGACAGCGAAGTAGGTCAGCTGGGTTAGACCATATTTCAAAGGATACCGATATCAGTAGTCCTTCCTGAATAAGTCAAAATTCCGATAAACTATCTGCAGGAAATCTATTTTCGGTAAAAGTCAGTTTGCTCTGGAAATTTCTAACGAGTTCCTTTCCTCAAATTTTCGCTAGTAATGAGTGTAAGTGGTGCTTGACTTTTTTCAGCAACGACGAACAGCAAAAACAAACTTACGTATTGTTCTTGGTCTCCCTAAAATCCTTCATTCAACCAAGCAGAAAAATTACAGTTGCCATTTCCCAATCATTGCAAATATTATAGTTGGGCGTGAAACCTGCTTACAGTCGACTGCAGTAATATCATTTTTAGCCGTTTCCTGTAAATGTCTAATCCTATCTTCTTCTAAAACGTGCAATTATGTAGCCACTAAAACTAAACTCATAGATAAACAACCTCGTGCTCGTTCAAGATGAGTGATCAACTTTGTTCACATCAGTTCGAGATTGACAGCACAGTAAGTGGAATTAGGAAAAAAAATAAGTTAGTCAGTCTGAGAGAACGGTTAATTCCTCGAAGCTATTACATCCATGTTTTCTAACATATGATTCGCTTTATCATTTGCGGTGTGAGTTAATTGTGGGCCTTTATTGAGTGCTCAAGGTATTTCGCAAGTTCTACGTGAGGACGCGCATGAGTGGGTTATACGTCAATGACAGGATTACCTGACACTTCCGACAACGGTTCACTTCAGAATTTGTTTATGATCACGTAACGTCAATGCGAACAAATTTTGGCCATAAAAATTTTTCCAAGAAGGAAAGAACACAAGGACAATACAGTTCTGTTAACTATTAGCCTCAAGTCATGTCTGAGACAAGTCCGAGTCGACGATCGAGACTTCTACAGGTTCTTCGGAAGCCAAAATTCTTAAAAGGACTTCACATCTTGGCAATAGTTCTCGGTTTTCTATGCATTGGCGGCTGTTTTGTGCTTGCAAGTCTCACGTACATTTTATTTGGAGACTGTGATGGCTGTGAGATGGAATCAGACGATAAAGCTATGGTAAAAGTGTTGAGGATTCTAGCTACCGCTTCTTTCCTATTAGGAATTCTCTCAATTGCTTTGTCACTGTGCTGTAAAGGAACACCTAGTAACAGTCTTACTCCTCAAGTTGTGGTTTCGCAGATACCCGAAGCAGATTTAGAGAAATCGCCCGCTCCTGTGCTAGCTTATAATCACATTCCTCATCGGCAAGCGTTTGATGCCGAAGATTCGGCGATGAGTTACAATTTGACTGAATTTGTAGCAAATGCGGATAATATAGACGAACAAGGTGCGTATAATTCAGCAAATGCGGGATTTTGGACGGAAGAAATTGATGGACCTGTTACACCGCCGCCAACTTACGAGGAAGCTCTTGTTATGAAATGGCCGGTTGTAACTGTTAAGGAAAACAGTTCACAGAACTCAGAGGAAACGGTCTCTTTCAACACGGGATTGTAGAGGAAAATATTCAAATTTACAGACATGAGAGAACAAAAGCTCGCAAACCAAAGCTCATTAATCTCAACACATTGACAGTTTGATAAAGGTTACTCACGATGGTTTCACGCGATAAATATAATTGTTCCCTTTGTCATCTATTTTTTTATGTTCTTTGTAAATATTATAACTCTATTTAATTATCATCTAACAGTCGATGTTAAAATACCGCGTGAATTTCTTGTACAGTTTAAAAATGTAATTATTTTTGTTAAGGTCGCAATTTTGCTTCGTTCACACACATACAAAAATGTATATATACATATTACCTTACGCTATTGCGTGGCTAATATCATGCTTTTGATATTGTGTATACATACTTAGTATGAATCGCGAAAATTGTTCAACAAAGAAATAAATGTTTTAGAATAATTCGGCATTTCTTGGTTTATTTCATCACAGACAGAGCTCACGAAACTGCTATTCAAAACAAGACAGCTTTCATATAATTTTTCAGAAATCAATAGAGCAATACCAGATATTAAGTAGAAACTGAAACTGAAAGAGCTCTTCAGATAAAAAAAATCAACAGAGCAGCAGAGACTAGATAAAGTACAAAGTACATTATTTTCATTTGGGAGTGGAAACCACAACATCACTGAGTGAAACAAATACAATTCCTTTTACCATCAATTAGAACCTTTTCAGTTGTAATGCAAACAATCCTCACCATTACACCTTACCTAAATTGGACATTTACGTATCCATATAGCAAATATTGGTCTTAATAGCAAGCCAGTATGTTGGACCACTAATAAGTTACGAACAATAAAATATAAATGATGAATTGAACTGTCCACCACATCTTAAACACCAATTAATAGACAGACTATACAAGACACTAGAATGTCTGACGAACAGTTAATGAAGGAACACTTTTTGTAAAATCCAGATGTGTCAAATTTTAGGATTACTTTGAATTTATTAAACCCTTATGCTCTAACAGGGAGAATTGGTTCAACAATCAAGAGCTTGTTTAGTTGGTGGTCAATTTCTTTATTCTCATGATCTAAGTATGTGATTTACAGGAGACAAATTAAGGAGAAATTAGAAGCTAATCACTATTAGGGGTTGCAGGGTTAAAGTTTAAAAACCATTGCCTGGAAAACAAGAGTACTGTTTCTCATATCATAACTCAAAAACAACACAGGAGCAAAAGCAGAAAATATCAGACCTATGCATTGTGATTTTCAAGCCACTGGCAAAATATGCAGAAAAAAAGATGAAATCATCAGTTTCCACGGAAACCTTTGAATCTTACACACTCCTTTAAATTTTTTTCCAATATAAGGGGAATTTGGCTGAATCTTTTCAACTTTTACGCATTCAGGGTGTTATAAATGCCCTTAACTGGATAAGTACTAATTCACTCAGTATATGATGTTGGCATGTAACAGGAAATAATCATTACGTATACAGAAAGGCATTTGAAAGGCACTTGAGATTACAAACGCTTATACCACAAGCCTTTCTGCAATAGTTTTACATACAACTTAACAATTCTTAAGATTCACTCCTCATTACAACACAAAAAAAAAGCAAAATATGCAGAAAAAAGATGAAATCATCAGTTTCCAAGGAAACCTTTGAATCTTGCACACCCCTTAAAATTTTTTTCCATTATAAGGGGAATTTGGCTGGATTTTTTCAATTTTTACGCACTCAGGATGTTATGTATGCCCTTGACTGGATAAGTACTAATTCACCCAGTATATGATGTTGGCATGTAACAGGAAATAATCATTACGTATACAGAAATGCATTTGAAAGGCACTTGAGATTACAAACCCTTATACCACTGGCCCTTCTGCAATACCTTTACAAACAAAGAAACAATCCTTAAGATTTGCTCCTCGTCACCACACAAAAAAAAATCAATCTTGCCGTTACTAGGCAACACTAGGGTCTTCCATAAAAGCGACAGAGAGTCAATTTACCATGTTGCCTTCTGCACACTAGCCATCAAACCTTTGTCAGCATAGTGACGGAACATCATTCTCGAAACACGATATCGTCCAACAAGAGCCCTCCCTCTGTCAGTCAAAACACAACGATTGCGAACTCTTGAGATTGAGCTGTCCCTTGGCAGTTTTTTCAGATCTTCAGCAGCTTTCTTGCGAATAACAGAAGGTAAAATATCATTTTTCTTTATATATCTCAAGTTGGTGCGTTCCATCTCATGCTCTGCATACAACTCTCTTCTCTTCATGTCTCTCCGTCCCCATTTCTTCAGGTAGTTTGGTTTCAAATAAAATTTATCCAGAGGTGTTGAAGTCTTGAATGACCTTGCCCAAAAACCTTCAGAAAAGAGCCAGATACCAAAAAAGAGAAGTTAGTCCTTGCTTTTAACCCTTTAACTCCCAAGATCTGATTGTTAATTCTCCCCTTTAGCTGCTAGACATTTCCTTGTAAGTAAGTTACAAGAGTTTGGTGTAAGATCAAGATAACAACTTTAACCTGATAAGTTTGAATATTCTCATGACCTGTTTGCTGGATAATGTTTAGATATTATAGGGAGAAGTTACTTAGTAATCAATTCTGGGAGTTAAAGGGTTTATCAACAAAAATCAAAACTATTTTAATGAAGGATATTGATTAGTGAAACTTAACAATGAAAAACAACACTGACCCACTGATATGCTCTAATCGTATTCATCATTATAAACCCTTTAACTCATAGCATGTAAATTCTCCCAAAAAATATCTATATGGTATCCAGCAAACAGGTCATGAGAATACTCAAAGGTAGAAGTTGTAAAAATTGATCTTACATGAAATTCTCATCACTGGTTGACAAGATAATATGTAGCAGTTAGAGGGGAGAATCAACAATTATATCTTGGGAGTTAAAGATTGAAATCTATAGATAATCAAAAGCAGACTGTGAAAAAGTAAAACTCAGGCATTCATTAGATTTGATTCTAGCAGACACCAATGGTGCTAAGTCAAAACAGAATGTGATAATTTCACTTTTCTGCATCAAAGAATATCACCACTATCCCCTTTCTGTTTAATGTTTCCACAGCAAACAGATCCTTTCCAAGTGAAAAGAAATAGTGAAGAGCTAAGTGTGTCCAAGGAAAAAGGAGAATCAAGGAATCCATTAACTTTTTACACCCTACAATCAGTATGCACATTCTCCATACTGTTCTCTATATATTTCCTAACATGCAGACAAGGGGAATTTCTTTCTGAATCCAGGGCTTCTTTAGCTGGTGATCATTTCCTTTATTCTTGTAACTTAAATGTTTGACTCTGGGGTGGTAATGTGAGGAGAAATTATATGCTATTCACTCTTAGGAGTCCAAGAGTTAACCCTTTCACTCCCAAAACCTAAACATCAATTCTTTGCACTGTCTAATGTAAATTCCTTGTAATAATATACATGAAAAAAATAGGAGTCCAACAGTTAACCCTTTCACTCCCAAAGCCTAAACATCAATTATTTGCACTGTCTAATGTAAATTCCTTGTAATAATATATATGACAAAAATTATGCACTTCTGATTGGCTGAAAATTAGTGCATTCTCATGTAACACAAGTGCAAATTACAAATACTGTATGGGCGTTTTAAAAATCATCTGTTTTGTCTTTCTGTAACTACTTTTTCATGTACATTATTGACAAATAATAGCATGAATTTGAATGCAATTTGGTGTAATAAGCACTTGTAAATTTTTCAAAGACTACAAATTGCACCCATCTGACAGGCTCATGCAGTTTTGTTGTCTTTGAAAAATTTACTATACCTAACTAACACCAAATTGCACTCAGAATCATGTTATTACCTATAACTATTCTGACACTTAAATCTAACGAGTTGCCAGTACCATATCTACCCTTGTTTTTAACCAAATTTTTCAGAAAGAAAGTTTTCACCACAAAAAAGACAAGTCAAATCTTTGTACAATTATTTATTAAGACAACAAGAACAAGTAATATACTATACCGTTAACACTGATATCTTTTGCTACTTAGTTATTTATAACCAATATCGAAGCTCAGCAAAAATCTACATTGTATTTACAAAAAATCTAGTCTGCTCTGCAAACTGGATAATTCTGAGTTTTTCAGAAATGGTGTAGCTTTCACATATAACCATGATAAGTTTTGTTGCCATATCAAATTCATAATTGCTTGTGATTACAATAATATGGTGTGATTGTGATATCTATCTAGTCAGCTGTTTGTTATACTCTACTAGATTTTTTTCATGGATTGAAATTGCAAATTTTTCATAGGTAGATTATTTGAATCAAAGCTAAAAAAGACCAGTTCCTATGAAACTTTTGTTACTTTCTTTGTTGTGCTTTTAACATAAACAAATTAGGACGCACCTGACAAATAATAGAATCCATGTATAACAAGCACCACAATGTTGGTGGTTATTTTTATAGAAATAAAGTGCGTATTATACACAGGTAAATACAGAAGGGGCAAACATTGCAAGTTGCTATAGGGAAATATATGGCAAAAGAGTTGTTTTGACATCCAAAAAATTAAACATTTTGATGAGAGATCAACCTTTTCCACTGCTGCTTTATCAGAAATGGAATTAAGCAATGTTGAAAGGGAGGGAAGTGGAGGTAAATATCCACCACTTTTACTGAAACTGGGGTGAATAATTGTTTTAGCATATACCACCGAAAAATTAGTTTACTTCTGGCAATATACCAAAAGAGTGGTTGGATATTAAACATTTGACTCGCAATTTGGTCTCTTTGGCTGTTCGGAAGTGAATAGCATTTGCTAATTACTTCCAAACTGACCAATCAGCTCATGCAAAAGGCATTATTTACCTGTGTGGTATATACTTATTTCTAATGTTCATCAACTGCAGGGCTCCTTGTTCAACTTGGAAAGCAAAATAAAAAGGCAAAAAAAAATTGTGTCTCGAAGTAAAAATTTTAGTTTCCAGAGAGGTCTCGTTGTATATTCACCGTGACAATAAGTGGAAATTCGGCTACCGCAGATTTTCCCACTTAAACTAAACTGTCTCTTACAGACTTGGGCAGTTGTGTATATTCAGTGTTCTCCCTTATTTTAAGCAAGAAAGGTTAAATAAATTTTTAAACCGGTAAAGCAATACTTTTACATGTTGAATTTTCAAGAATTCCAAGCAATGTTAACCGGTAATAAGAGGTACTACAGGCGGTAAATGTTACCGGTTATTGCCTGAAGAGGAAAACACTGGTTAAAGTTGTATTTGTTATTAGGGTCTTAAATGGATATTTACTTACCTCCAGAAAGGATCGATTGACATACTTTAGGAAAACTGTACAAATTTCCAACCAAATTCAAGCGACTACACAAAAACGCCGCCATTTTGATTTCAAGAAGAGTGGACTAGTGGAATCGAGGCTGTCATTGCATATTCATTTTGTATCAGCGGTAGCCTTTTAAAGAGAAGACACGAGTCTTCCAAAACAAGACAGTGTTCCGTGTTATGTTGACGAAATGTTATAGTTGTTGTGACTGAGTTATCGCGATAACTAGACAAAAGTTTTCTTAGAAAGAGACAAGGATCATTTTTTTCCAAAAGAAAGTGGACAAGGAGGGTTGGAGAAGAAAATGAGAACGCTAAATCGAACGATTTGCTTCGTTTACGCAGCCGGAGATGCCATGATTTTTTCATGCTGACCGTGGTCTGAAGGGTTTCGCTTTGTTAATAATTTTACTCTTGATATCCTGACGAAACCCGCTTAGCTTGTGTACAAGGCTTGGAAACTTTTGAATTTTATTTTATAGTTTGTTTATTTTACTTCGCTGTTTTAATTTATCCATGGGAAGTTCTACTTCAAAGTTCCGCAAAGCTCTTCAACGTGGTGAAGGAGTCGAGGCTATGCACATTTACCTCAAGAACCCTGAAATTAAAAGAAATCTTGATCCGAACTGCAGCTTCGGAGTGAATCATGGCCGAAACACTGCACTGCATTATGCTGCAATGCATGCGATGAAAGCTTTTATACGCGAGTTCCTGGAGGAAAAAGCTGACCCGAACATTACGAACGCGATAGGGCAAAATGCCTTGCACTGTGTTAGCTTGAGTTTCCGAGGAGTCGAATCGTCCGTCGATAAAGCGCGAGCCGACTGCATGTCGATACTTCTAGGATGGAGTTCAAATCTTCCGGAGGGAACAGGGCTTGAGATCGATGCACGCGATCAGGTAGGAAAAACAACCTTGTGTTAAATAAATGTGTAAATATTTCTGCGGAAATGTATCTAACCTCTTTCACCACTACCATTTTACCCATGAACAATTTCGTATCATAATCTCTAAAGCAAGTATGTCTTTTGTTTTTTTTTCTTGCAGTAATGAAAAGTAAATGAAAAACCATTTCTTTCATAAAAGTACATTAATTCTTCAGTTCTGACCTAACATGTATTACTAAAAGCTGGCAACGTCTTAATTACGAGACGCGACACAATTTTAACAGATAAACGAAAATGCCATGAACCCTTAATATTGTGATTAGCATTTCTTCCCTGACTGTTTTTTTTAAACCGTTAGAAAACCCGTTAGTTGTTTAGGCTGTTAGATAATACGAAATTTTTAATCCTATGCGAAACAGAGTACTTCGAATTCACTTCCAACTTGTTGTCGTGACAAATGAATGGAAACCGAGGCGTACAGGTGTTCTGAATGAAACTGAAAAAAAATAATAAAATAAGCAAAAGCTTGCTTTTCTTGTAAAGCTGAAATTTATTTTCCCCAGAAACAATCTATTTTAAGGTACTGGAAACCTTTCTTTTTTTTACTCTTGGTCTTTTGATATTAAAATGTTTTTGAAGACAGCGAAGTAAAGTAATACAAACCATTGTGGTTCATAAGACACTGCTTCCGACTGTTTTTCTCAACGTTTCTAATTATGTCAAAAATAGGAGTGCATTCAAAGAGCTTAAGGTGGCAAATTATGATGAATGTGATAAATTATTAAACTGTACGCAAAAAAAAACCTTTTTGTCTTACAAATGACATGCAATTCCATTAATATTCCAATTGTAATTTAAAATATTGCTATCACTATAATGAAAAATCATTTTCATAATTTTTTCGTCTTCCCTCAGCAGACATGCCTTCTAGTCAAACTCAAATGTAGTTGACAAAAATCTTATTAAAATTTTGTTTTTTGTTAGAGCTGAGGTCAAGGGTTTGATTAAATGTTTTAAATAATTTGGCACCACAAACTTATAGGATGAAATTTTTAATTGAAACTTAGATATTACAGACAGCTGATACTGTCTCCCACATTAAAATTATTCATTTTTAAAAATTAAAAATTTATTTTAGGTTTCACATATTACAAAATATCCAGAGATGCATCGTGTCAATGCTCTGTACACATCTGCCCTAACATCTTCTTTTAATTGTTTTAGTATTACACTTATTCTTAATAATTGATATAAATGGACAATTTGATTGGTAATTGCTAAGTGTACTTAACCCTCAAACTCCCATGAGTGATCAAGACAGAATTTCTCCTTACAATTTAAATACAATGTCAAGCAGACAAGTGATGAGAATAAAGAAAAATGTCAATTGGGAGATTATTAGATGATCATGATCTAATACCAAATTCTCAGAACAAACATAAGAATTGTGTGGCAGACAGTAAGGAGAATTTCTAAAGAGATCTTGAGAGTGAAAGGTTTAAGTAACCATATGGACAGGGCAAGGGCTGGCAAATTGTCACTTTAATGAAACAGAAGATTCCTATACTAAGTCTAAGGGGATTATTTTAAAATTCAAATCTTGCAAGGTGGAATGGATTGCGTTACAATGTACCTATAAGAAATTTTGAATTCTCTCATAAATTCAGGACTTTTTTCCTTTTACAATGGAAGTCACTCATTTTTCTTTTTCTTTTCTTGTATACATTTTAATGTATTTATTTCCTTATCATTTCTGTATTATTTCTGAATTCTGTCTGCAATATTGATTTTTAGCATAGTTTAACTGGTAAGTTGATAAGTGATACCCTTTGACTAACATCTCCTACCTGCAGGTCAATTAAATTTTTATGATTAAAATGAAAAAAATCAAGTGTTAAGTGTAAGTTTGTAATGTGACCTTCTCACCCTGATGAATGAATGTTTTAGACTGGAAACACTCCGCTGCACTATGCTGCAAGCTCAGGACTATATCAATGTGTTCAGGTATGTACTCTGTCAAAAAAACTTTTATAAACTATCTGAGATACAAAGGGTCCTGACTGGGAAACAACCTATTGTTTATTGTACTGGTAAATGCATAGAAAATGGAAACATCCTGTTTTTTTACAACAGGTTTTATCAACATGATGCTAGTGACATTGCTGTCACCCTAGCAGTGTACAAGACACATGCCTTACATGAACTTTGTGATGGGCCTCACTCATTATGAAGTCTCTGTGGCCAAGTCCCCAATTCCTAATGGGGACTTAAAATTTGTTCTTTGTCCTGTGCCCTCCGATATTCTATTTAAAAAATCCTGTGTTTTTTTAAGTCTATTTTATAAATTAAAGCAATAGACCCCTAGCTACTCTCTATTGGTTTCTTGGTGTTATAACCCATATGAGATGTTCAGAGAACAAGAGAAAAGTTTATAAATCATGCGCTGGAGGACAGTGATTTCCACGTTTTTGATTGGAAAGTGCTATATAAAGTGCAGACTATTGCTTAAATAATTTTTGACTTTTGTTGTAAGCCACTTGGTCTTTCACCCCTGGAGTTGAATAACTCCCAAAAGTCATCAAAATTTTACTCAAATGTAGCTCTTCCGCTGCAAAAAACCGGCATATTTTTCCTTTTCCTGAATAGCAAACTTGGGACTATTTAGGACACTAAGTTTAAACAACTTCAAGTGTACTCTTAACCCTTTAACTATAGAAATCTGATTGACAATTCTCCCCTCTAGCTGCTACACATTTCCATGAGAATTTGGTGTTAGATCAAGATAAAAACTTTTACCTGATCAGTTCATGTATTCTCATTATTTGTTTGTTGGACAGTGTGTGGGTCTTATAGGGAGATGTTACATGTTAATCACTTCTGGGAGTTAAAGAGTTAATCTTAATCTTATTCTTTTATTCTTAAGTTGTTGGTTGCTAATGGAGCATCACTTTATGAAGAAAACAAGAATGGGGAAACTGCATGTGATTTTGCCATCAAAAGAGGGTTTAACTCCATTGCAGCTTTTCTGGAATCAAGGATGGTTTTCTCTGTAAGTACAGTATATGTTATGGTTGAACCCCTAAAAACCCTTAGAGTGACCAGCATCTAATTTCTCCATACAGTAATACTGCTGAAGCATTCATTTAGGTTATGAGTATATAGTTATTGATCACCAACCAAGGAAGGTTTGATTGTTAAGCAAATTCTCCTTGTCAGTACTAAAGGAGATGTATAGAGAAGAGTATGAAGAATATAGATACTGATGTTGTGGTATAAAAGGTTAAAGGAGAAGATTTCATGGTTGGAGTAATAGTTGACTGTGTGATGTGGTTAACCCTTTAACTCCCAAGATCTTATTGTTAATTCTCCCCTCTAGCTGCTACACACATCCTTGTAAATTAGGTATGAGAATTTGGTATAAGATCAAGATAACAACTTCTACAGTCGAACCTCGATTATCCGGACCCCGATTATCCGGACTATTCGATTATCCGGACTTTCTTCTCTGGTCCCAATTTTCCCATGAATATTAATTAGTTTTGATCTTGAAAACTCAAAGTCGCAAAAAGCCCAATAATCCTTTCAAAAGACTGTTGAAACAGCGTATTATCCTATGCGCTTTTCAAAATTCAAAAGTGCGACGAGTCAAAGAAGTATTCTGATGCATTCAGCTGATATATGGTTAGCTCAATTGTTTTGTTGCCAAGGGAATTTCATGCTTGATTAGTTCCTTCTGCGTGGGTTATGTAAACACATGAGCGATCGATCGTAAACTCAAATCAAAAACATGCCCACGAAGCGAAAGCTTGCCGTTCTATTGATTAAAGATAAGCAGATAATTATTTCACATTTCTATCTCATTAATATTCATATTTTCGATTATCCGGACTCTCGATTATCCGGACTATTTACCGAGGTCCCGATGAGTCCAGATAATCGAGGTTTGACTGTACCTGATAATTTTGAATATTCTCATTAGCTGTTTGCTGGATAATGTAAGGATGTTATAGGGAGAAGTTTCATGTTGATCACTTCTGGGAGTTAAAGGGCTAAGGTTTTTATCAAGGTATGAAGTAGTGGACAGGGTTGTAGCTAAGAAATTACATTGGGCTACTGGCTGAAATTTTGAATGTGATGGCTCACAGATAGTGTTAGATTTTTAAGCATTGTAAGTGCGTAACCTCAGAATTACTAGCTTTTTCTTCTGGCAAATTTCACAAAAAGCCTGAGTGGGAGAAAGAAACATGAGACTGACTGATAAAACAGCTTGCCTGAGCTGCGTCAAAAATTATTCAGAAGTGATCGTGATTTTGCAAGAGAATTATAGATAGAAGCTGGAGAATTCTCCAATCTCCAATATCCATAAATGTGCTGGGTGATTCAACAGATGAGGGTACACTACCTCCTGTTTCCATGTTTTTGGAGTCAGTGACAATTTTCTTAACAAGAATGTGAGTGGTCTTTTGCTGCTTGCAGGGCACTCCAACAGGTTCAAGGGTACAGATCTGTGAATTTGCAGGAGATTTGATGTCCATTGGATAATTTTTCATGCTCTTTACTTTTCTGAAACTTTTCAATCTTTTTTCTTTATCAGCAAGAATCTCCAAGTGCCAATGCAGTTGAGGAGCCTGTTTTTATTGACAGAGATGACCAGGTATGCATTGCATAGAATTGAATTTATTTTATCCTTCATGTGCTTATGCAATGTCCTCAAATGCAGAAAAAGTTGTTTGGAAATATTTTTTAGAAGTTTTCCTTTAAAATGGCAAGTACATGCTACAACCTCAGTTAAGTTTTGTTAATTTTTTGGTTACTGACATTAAGGAGGATTATTTCAACAATACAATAGTTGTAACACTTAAGAATTAGATGTACCTTGTGCAGAAAAAAAATCTTTACACCATTGAGTCAGTTACTGCATTGTTCAACTTGAAGACAGATGCAAAATATTGATTCAGAAAGATAGAAAACACAGTGATAATCCAAGAAACAACAATTAACTTGTTAACTCCCAAGATCTGGTTGTTAATTCTCCCCTCTAGTTGCAACACATTTCACTGTAACTAAGTTATGAGAATTTGGTGTTAGATCAAGACAGCAACCTGTACCTGATAAGTTTGAGAATTCTCATTATCTCTTTGCTGGATAAGGATTGGATATTATAGGGAGAATTTATGTGTTAATCTCTCCTGAGAGTTAAAGGGTTAAAATTAAGTATAGAGAGAATTGGTGTAAAAAAAAGATTGTAAGTGATGAACTTGAAAACTTTAGGCTTGAGTTTTAGAGATTCACATTTAAATTTATTTTGATATTTGAGTGAACATAACCTCACATATTGAAGGGCTATGTTTAGAGGGTATTAAAATTTAGAACCAGGATGTAATGATGCAGTATTAAGTGACATTACCATGTTAAATCACTGTACAAATTGGCTTGTTTTCTGAATGCTAGAAGCAATACAGAGGTCTTTGTGCTCAAGATCTTCAAGAAGCAAAGGATCAGATGCTTGTAGAGACAGCAGATATGCTCAGGGTAAGCTTAATGTCCACTTAATTTTCAGAATGCTTATACACTTTTTATTTCACTTTTAAATTTTTCAGATTGGTCACAATGGCCAGTCAGAGTAATCATAAGGGATTGTAAGCAAACCATGATGGTGACGGCAATGAGGATGTGGCAAAATAAAATATAAAATGGGCAGCACTATAGCACAGCATGTGTATTTTAAACCTTTGTACACATCTGAGCTGTCTTCCTACAAAACAGCATTATGAAATGACCAAAATTTGTGTGGTATTAGAACAAAACCCTGATGGCAAATGATCCAAGTTTCCATTTGGAACTCAATGCTGCTCCTACATTTGTTTTTATATATTTTGATTTGTAAATCTTATACATGTGTTTGTGTCATAGGTTCCATTATTTACTGCTGAAGGTCTACTTCGGAATCACGGTTAGTCACCTCAAACATATTTACAATAAAATTCGTTGAAGAAGTAACTTGATATGATACTGTACTTTTAATTAATAATTGTAAATTAGTTTTCATCACACTTCATTTTTCATGGAATTTTGCTCCGTGGGGGTAAGTCAACAAGCAATACTTAATAATTGGTTTGTAATAGTTACCCAACTGTCTTGTTACTACAGAGTGGTCTAAAGAATCTCTGATTGAAGCATGGATGGAAGATCCTGTTGCAGCTTGTGAGAAAGCTGGAGTTACTCTCCCAGAAAGTGAGTTTTTAACTGTTCACACAGTATTATTCTTAAGTTTCTTGTTCCTTTTGTTTTGTTTTGTTTTTTTACCTTCATGTTGTTTTTGTTTTTAAGTTCCAAACTAAAAATTGAGAAAGTCAGTTAGGAAGTCTGAACAGATTTGATTTCTTTCACTCATGGTTGAAGAATTTTGACCAAATGTCAATGCTAAATTGTTAAATTTGTGAAATTACTAAGAAAGTTGGAAAACAGTTAGATGTTTTGAACAGGCAAAAAAATTCCCTCAGAAATGTGCCTCTACAACTTGTACGTAATGTCTTACTTCACTTACTGTTCTGCTATTTGGCACAATTGTACTGACTGATAATTTTTTGTGATTTTCTTATACTTTTCTTGGCATATTAGCATGCACTGCCAAGGGCCTAATCAGCCTCATCAACCTGAGTTGAAGTAAAGTTACTTACTAACTTACTTAACCCTTTAACTCCTAAGATCTGATTGTTAATTCTCCCCTCTAGCTGCCTTACTTTTCCTTGTAAACTAGTTATGAGAATTTAGAGTTAGATCAAGACATTCTATTGGACAATTTTGATTATTCTCCTTAACTGTTTATTGATAATGTATGGATGCTTTAGGGAGAAATTACTTGTTAATCACTTCTGGGAGTTAAAAGGTTAAATGTATCTTAACTTAATGAAATTTCTTGATTTCTTCCATTGCAATATCCTTAAAACTAACAGTTTTCTATATTTTCATCCACTAGATCACACCACAGGCAATGTAGAACTTGAAGAGAAAACTAAACTCGCAATAAAAAGCAACTATGGGGCATCTGTAAGTATTTGGTTAAAAAAAGCTTTGTCACTCCAAGTGGTAAATGACATGAAAACTTATTGGAAAGCAATTGATTACTATACACTTCATTATTTATATTGATATTCTTCATACTGTTCCCTCAACATTTCCTTTAGGGCTGATAAGGAGAATTTTTTTTTTTTGTAATTGGGAGGTTCATGAATTTCTGAAGATTTTCTTTAGATTTATGACCTTTTTATTATTTGACAGTTTGACAGGGGTGGGGAGGGTGATAATGTAAGGAGAAATAAGAAGCCAATCACTCTCAAGTGTAAGGGTGAAATGGTGTGACAATTACACTAGGTAGCTGGTAGCTGTTGACAAGCCTTCCTATGGTTTTGGTATATCTTTTAACATCTTGGTCCTCATCTATTTTAATTGCAGGAAGTTTGTTCTATCTGTGAAGATCAAATAGTGTATGAAGATGTTCCTCTGTCTCTTTCTTGTAACCATGAGTTCTGTCGTTCTTGCTGGGAAAGGTAAATTTAGGAACCTTTTATATTGAGTATTAAACAATTATTTACCTAAGCGGGGATAAATATCCACCACTTGCAGTTGCGCTGAGGTTAATAATTGTTTTTAGTGTATACTACACAGAAACCAAAAGATCATTTTATTTCTGTCACTACTCTGAAAATGGTCAGAAGTTAAACTCCAGGCCCTGGTTGTTCAAAGACTTATTCACTGAATAAGACATTAAGTGGACACTTATTCACTGGATAGCAATTTATTCACTGGATAGCAATTTAATCACTGGATAGCAATTTATTCACTGGATAGCAATTTATTCATTGGATAGCAATTTATTCATTGGATAGCAATTTATTCACTGGATAGCAATTTATTCACTGGATAGCAATTTATTCACTGAATAGTAATTTATTCACTGGATAGCAATTTATTCATTGGATAGCGTTATCCATCCTTTATACAACTGGGCCCTCATGCACAATTTTGTCTCTTTGGCTGGTGTAAGGTGAATAGCACTTGCTAATCACTACCAAACTGGCCAATCATTGAATGCAAATGGCATTATTTACTTATTATGTGGTATATACTTACTGATGATGTTGTTGTATTGGGTAAAGGGCTAAGCAATTAGTGCCAGACTCTTGGTCTAGAGGTCTGGGTCCTAGTCATGGCTGGGTCATGTGACATGTTCTTGGGCAAGACAACTCACTCTTAAAGAGTATGTCTATGTTTACAAGGACAGAGGGGCACTAAAGAACTCTTCGAAATCCTGCAAAATGCCAGGGGTTAGCTGCCACAACCCAATGTCCTATCCAGTAAGAGTAGTCATACTCCTAATGGTTTTGTGGGATCTGCGGATGAGAAAAATTTGACTATGGGCTGTGTGGCCTGTAAGACTCTATTGTATGTTGTTACCTGTTGGTTGCAAGGTGAGTGTCTGACTGGATTCTCAATTATGGAGGCAGCATGGCCCAGTGGCATGTGTGCTGGACTTGTAATCTAGTGGTCCTGGGCCCAAGTCCTCCACCTTGCCATTCACTGGATTTGTTCTTGGTCACTGCACTGTGCTGTGTAAATAGCCGATAGGTCTGCCCTCTGCCAGTTCGGAATTTTCAAGTGCTTTATGTTTATTTCAGTCATTGTAAAACACTATTGGATAGCAATAGAAATAGCACTTTATAAATAAAGTATTGTTTTTTAGTTAATATTAATTCATTGTCACTCTCTGATCCATGTTTACTCAGTTACCTGAATGTGAAGATCAAAGAAGGCAAGGCTCATAACATACAGTGTCCTGCATTTGATTGCAGTGCTCTTGTCCCTGTGGTAAGTAAGCTTTAAACACTTAACACCTTGAGACTCTCTGAAAATGAATAAAGAAGCATCTTACATGGATAAAGACACTTCCTGAGCAAATTTTCTCTAGATTTATATCCTAGAAGCTCAAAGTTAATGGTAGCTATAAAATTTTCCACTCCAAATATTATGACTGTTTCACTCCAATAATTATTAGCTTACCTTATATGGTAATGCATTTTGCTAATGGTTGCAGAGCTCAAAGTGCTCCAAGTGTATATAAAAAACTAAGATTAATAATGATGATATTGTTTAGCATTTAGAATGGCAATGAATTTTATATTCAATATGCAGTACACAGTCACTATAAGTATTATTATTTGTGTCTACTTTAGACACTGCTTCTTCAACAAATGCCTTCTCCATCTCGTTGTTAACTCATCTGGTCTATGTTCAATGTTTTTTTTTTTTTCCAGGAAACTATTGAAAGTCTTGTATCAAGAGAAATGGCAAGAAGATATCTTCAGTTTGATATAAAGGTAAGGACTTTACAAACTGGCCAGTCATCTTAAAGGGATCCTTGGCAACCATACCCCTGTTTTTGATTACTGATATAGGAAAGCATGAAAATCCTCTGATGACGAATGACACAAATTAGTTAAAAATGTGAGTCAAAACAAAGCAATGATGAGGTTAAAAGGCAAATGCAATGATGAAAATTAAAATAGAAGATAAGATGGACAGCTGAAGATTTAGAACCACTGGTAATAAAGTCCAAACATTCTGGCTATAAATAAGGTAGAGTCCTGGTAAAGCAGGTGTTTCCATAAAAGGTTGGTATCATTGTTAGTCTTCTTCCTGTAAAACCTCTCACTGCTGTCTGTTTAGCCTGCAAGCAGGCTCAAGATTGTGTTAGGGTTTTACCCAACCACCCCTTTTCTGGGAACACCCGATTATGGAAAAAGTTATTTAAACCACTGGGTAAAGGCACTTAGTTCATCAGATTGTAGTCACAAAGTACTCATGGTAAGGAAGGTGTCACTTAAATTCATGGTGGATGTTAAGAAAGAGTTGATTGTATGTTACAAAGTTTTCCACTTACGCAAGTGTTTGTAAGGAAAAAGCCTTATCTTCTTACAAATATTTTTCAGGCTTTTGTAGAGAGTAATCCCACTTTGAAATGGTGTCCGTCACCTGGATGTGGCCGAGCAGTGAGGCTGCCATCGAACATGCTACCCTCACTGAATGTTTCTGTAGAAGCAAGCTCTTTAGGGGAGACAGAGCCAATGACTGTAGATTGTGGCAGTGGTCATTTCTTTTGTTGGTGAGTACACAGTAGGTAGATCATAGTAAGCAGAGGTGATTGGTTCATAATGCCAACAGATTTCTTGGTTATTGGGTTTTATTAGTTGTTTTGGACCTCACAATGCACAACTTTTAAACACACGGTTTGCATGCGACAGGTTTCACTGTCAGAAATTATAATTTTTGTCAGCACTGCATACACACTAAAATGATGAAGAGGGTTGTGTGCCAAAGTTTTTAAAATTTCTTTTTTGTCATAGATTGGGCAAATTTAATGTGCATTGCATTAATTACACTTCAAATGTCAATATTACTGTACATCTGATCCACAGGCATTGTTTAAAGGAAGCTCATCTGCCCTGTACATGTGAACTTTGGAGTAGATGGATGGAAAAAATAGCTGAAATGTTACCAAAGATTCCTACAACAGAAGGTTGTTAAAATTTGATTCAAATTTTATTTGTATGGGTAACAAATTTTATTTTCCTGTACATGGTAGATCCAGTAGCTTATTTTATAGTATGCTATTGGTAAGGTTACGTCCGTACTGAAGAATATTGGCCCACCCAAGCAGAACTTATCCTGGTTTCCAAGTAACATGAAGCAACTAGGAGTATTACCACTCCCCCCTGATGGTCAGTGCTCTGAACTCCGGGTTGAGAGGTCCTGGGCCGAGAGGTCTGGCACATTGACCTCGCCGGGTCAATGTGTGCTCTTGGACAAGACACTACTCTCATTGCACTGGCCGTCAGGCCTCTGCATCTCATACCTTAGCCTATGGCTGGTTACCACCACCCATCCACCTACACACCCACAACCCAACCCCCCCCCCTCGCATTTTGTTAAGTTTACCTGAATCCACCCAAGTGAATAAATACGTACTGGTGAACTGCTGACGTGTTATATTATATATATTACATTGTATATATTTTATATATTGTGATACCCCACCGACGCAGCACCACAGTTTCTGTAGAAACTTACGTCCCCCTCCTCCGCCTTAATACCAAAAGGATTACCGGTCTTCTAAGTTTTTATTTTCAAAGTCTTGTTGAAGGTTTGAAAATCAAAAGCTCTAAATCTTCCTCTCTTTTGACAGACATTTCTGAGTGTCCTGAAACAGAAGCAGTCGCCAACACTCTTTGGCTCGTGACAAACTCGAAATCCTGCCCCAACTGCAAGTAAGTGGTCGATCTATACAAGACATATATGTGTGCGTTACGTTTTGCATAACTGAGTACCTGGTTTGTGTTTCATGCAATCATGCCTGTAATCCATCCTACAACAACACTAAAAGAACGTGTTAATGGTATAAAAACTGTAAGATCTACCAATTATGCCAAGGTCCAACGTCACTACTTGCGTATCTGAAAAAGTTCTTCATTATCAAGCAGTCTTAGAGATCCAGTGTATAGAAATAGGATACGCTTCCTCTCTTACTATGTTGCCTTGGCTCTCTGCCAAAAAATTAAAAATTGAGTCAGTAACTTTTTGTTTAGAGGAATTTTCAATTAAGTGTCGAGAGAAATCTGGGATTATTTTGATTTTGCTATACTTCGCTCAATGATTGGTTCAGAAAACTCGCGCCTCTCTCTTAACCAATCAGATGCAAAACTTTAACCAATCACGACTTGGTCGCCCGCTTTTTCCCGCGCTTTAAGCAGTTTGTTTGTTTTTGCTGTGAGTTCTCATTGGTTCTTAAAGGTATTTTTCTTTTTTTTGATTGGCCGTTGTGATTACTTTGGTCTTGGTTTTACGACACTCGCCATAGGTGAAGTGTTAACGCAATAGAACATACAGCTTATTACTGATCTGTTATAGTAAATAAATTGACTTAACCCTCAAAGAAACTCTTAAAATCTTTTTTTTCAAAACTAGAAAGACAAAAACCGAGAGGTTGTACATATTACATATTACGGAAAAATATTAGCGATTGGTAGGATTAGATTTGATGGAAAAGCTTGATCGACCGTCTCACATTCTACACAGTACCACAAAAGCGCGTTGAAATTAAGAATTTGTAACGATTGTCAATGTTTCTCGAATGAATCTAATGGGAGATTTTACTCCTCAGATCACCCATTCAGAAAAATGAGGGATGCAACCACATGAAGTGTACAAAGGTGTTTATAAAGCTTATTTACTTGTTATGAGTTTTAGAAGGAACGGCACGAAAGATACACACTTGTGCAGTTGTAAAACTTCTTTGTAATACTTGCGGTTCTCGTTTGTACAATACTTCGTAAAACAAAAAATATATATATCAAAGAGTGACTTACCACGTGTTAATTTTGTTGAGTGTATGCCTGCACATGAAGAAGTCCCGTAATGAAATTCTACAGACATTTATTATCATTATCTTTTTAATGTTTCTTTTACAGTGTAAACACGAGTTCTGCTGGGTTTGTCTTGAACAGTGGAAAAAACACAGTTCTGCTACAGGAGGATATTTTAGGTTGGTGGAACTGAGTTGAAAATTGTCATGAATATTTGTCCTTTGTGACTAAAATACTATTAGTAAGGAGAGATTTCATAGAGCTGCGCACAAATTTTTGTTACGTACGCGTTCACAGCCTTTGTTATATTTGGACTGAGTGGAGTCCAATTCGGTTTGTAATCATACGAATGATAAGAAAATTGGAAGACTGTGAAGCGGGAATGTTATTCACGAGTATGATTATAGACAGAGTTGGACGACACGAAGTCCTGTTACCAATTACTCATAACTAATACAATTTCCAAAAAAAAAATTCATCTAGGACAAATGTCTGCACAGGAGACAATATCTAAAGTTGAAAATTCCTACATTTGGAAATTTACCAGTGTTTCTTAGGATGATTGGTTGTTGCTATGGTTATTGTGATCAATTCTGTGATTGGTGGATTTAGCTGAGTGGACTAAGTACGATTGGCTGCTTCAATTGTCCAATTACAGGTGTCCAATTACAGCCAACTATCCTATTACCTGGTCCGATTACAACTCTGCAAAATAATTAGTGAAAAAGGAAATAGTTAGTGCACCAACCACATGTAAGGAAATTGTAATGGCTATGATTAAATCTCTTTTTCCAGGTGTAATCGATTTGAGATTGTTCAAAAAGTTGAATCAGAGTCAGCCAAGATAGTAACAGAGGTAAGGTGAAGCCTGTTTACGAAACTGACTCGATTAGCTGCTTGAATTCCATCAAATGAAGCGATTGAAAGTGTTTCTGCTCCCCTTGGCTGGTATGCCGGTCCGATGCAGTTAACCACCACACCCCCATGTCAGTATTTTGTCCGGCTTCCTTAACGGTTTACCAATACTCATTTCTACTCCTGGGTGAAGAGCAGCTTTTGTGAGCGTGAAGTGTCTCACTCAGGAACAAGGCACAAAGCATGAAGCACTAGGACCCCCCTTGGAATTGAAAATGTTAGCATCACTGGGTGAAGGTCAAACTACCAGCATGATGGTTTTAAACCTTTGACCCCTAAGAGTGACCAATTTCTCCTAACAGCATTACCCCTGAATGAAACATTTTAGTCACGAGAATAAAGGAAATGATCATCAACTTAAGTAGCTCTTGATTGTTATACAAATTCTCCTTGTTAGCGTCTTAAGGAAATGTATAAAGAACAGTATGGAGAATATGCATTCTGATGTTAGGGTGTAAAGGGTTAAAAGAAACTCAGTGCTATTAATAGCTCTGACCGATTGAAAGTTGAAAAGGACTCTAATGAGGGGAAAGTCGTTTTCAAGTGTACTTTATGGAATTTTATGTGCGTTTTTAATGCTCGATATTTTTTTTCCGAATTTTTTTTTACCAGATTAACACAAAGAATGACGAAATCACGCAGTTAAATTGTTTTCTACATTATTACTCGCGCTTTAAGAACCATGAAAATAGTTACAAGGTAAGAACATAAGATTTTTAAAGAGAAAGTAGGAAGTTATCTTAACAGATGATTGGAACGTTCGGTATTGTGGGCAGTAGAAGGGAGAAATGCGTTTTTCTTGCGATTACTTACAAAAGGAGAAGCACACAGTGCAAATTGTCTTTGCTGATGAGGAATAATGATCCATAAAGTAAAGTTTGATCAAAATTATTTTTTTATCTTTAATAGTTTGAAGAACCTTTATTAAGTACAGCTAAGGATAAAATGTCTGCACTGGCTGTTGCTGCCATGGAAACAGGTAAGTTCTCCCTTTTACTATCAGCTATACGACCGATATCACTAAAACGGATTTTTTTCCTTTATATCTGAGTGTGAGTCTATACTGTGTACTGAACAATTGTTTCTGTGTTCAGCTGCAACTTCAGTGGAAAATGCTGACACATCATTCATCGAAGACGCCGTTCACGGACTACTTAATTCAAGAAGAGTTCTCCGAGCCTCATATGCCTATGGCTTCTTTCTCACTGGTAACAAAGACAAGAGAGTAATCTTTGAATCAATGCAGGCGAGTGTTAAAGCAATTTTTAACTGCGTGTGTAAAGTAATCCGGGATGTACATTGCTCTCTGATTGGTTCAGAAAACTCGCGCCACTCTATCAACCAATCAAATGCAAAATTAAAACAAATTGTCACTTGTTCACCCGCGTTTTCCCGCGCTTCAGCAGTTTGTTTGTTCAGTTTATTTTCCATAGCCGTTATTCCCCATTTTTTTTGATTTGATGTAGGTTTATCAAACTAAATTAAAAATCGCTCTTAACACTAACAGTTGCACCATCTATGTTTCCTCTCCAGACCGAAGTTGAAGAAGCAACAGAGACACTATCACAGATGGTAGCCCGACCTTACTTGAGGACACCGCGGGCTCAGATCATCCAAACCACACAGCTGTTACACCGGAAGCGAGATGACTTCCTGTTAGCTCTGTCACGTGGTCTTATACCGGATGACGACGAACTTCCGGAACCTAACAGCCTCATGCCAAGGTAAGTGTTGTTAGTAATGTTATTTCAAAGTTCTGTTTCGAAACTTTTGCTTCTAAGGATTCCCTTTCTAAATAGCTTTTTCATTTTATAGCAGGTTCCTCTCTTCATCCAGAGGAAGTCAAGATAGCGAGGTACCATTGAAATTCTATAAATGACCGTATAGTGTTATCATGTATCAGTAGCTCGCGATACACAGTTGAATATCTTCCCATTCATTGAAAGACCGGTTGGTTCCTCTTTAACGGCATTCTATCTCAGATCCAACTGTTGTGGAGCCAGCCTGGTCGGGATTTTTGTGTTTAACCCTTTAACCCTTAAGAGTGACTAGCATATAATTTCTCCATACGATATCAACACTGAATCACACATTGATGTCATGAGAATAAAGCAAATGATCACCAACTGAAGAATCTCTTGATTGTTAGACAAATTCTCCTTGTCAGCACCTTAGTAAATGTACTAAAAACAGTATGGAGAATATGAATACTGATGTTAGGGTTTAAAGGGTTAAAAGCTCCCATGCAAGACAAGCAACACTCTCAGTGTCTCCAAGTAGTAGCATCGAATCGTCAGTTATCATATGTTGTAGCCTGGTATTTGTCCGTGTCTGAGCAGAACCACAGCAGCCTGAAGCTGCCAAGTTCCCAACTCCCTAGCAGATCGAATATTCATACTACAATCGAAAAATTAATTTTTTGTGTTTTGTAGTCTGACGAAGATGAAGACAATTATGACGAAGTTCGCAGCGCAATTGAACATTCCATTATCAAGGAACGTTTGACTCGGCTGGCAGAGTTTGGATCTACTGATTCATGCCCACTTAGTGAAGATGTCTTTGAAGAACAAGCCGCTGCCAAGGAAAAAGTAACCTGTGAGGCGATTCACAAGAGATTTAACCTTTCCTCTTGTTACTTGTGCAAATATGGAAAAACGAAAGAAAAAGGGGCGGGAAGGAGAAGAAGTATGTAACAAAGTGATATTATTTATGCATCATAGCTCTGAACGACAAAGTTCTTAATAGCAAAGCCCTTCTTGTGGAAATATAGAGAAGTGAAAGAAAAATGGTTGGAAGGAAAGATATCTATGTAGCGAAATGGTTCTTGTTCATGTATCATAGCTCGAGACAAGTAAAGATAAACTTGGCACTACATTTGCTAGCCTGCGTGAAGGCCTGGTTTTTATATTTAGCGCTGAAAGACGTGCGTTTCTCCGCCCCGGGAACTTTAGAGACGAGTCGGGTAGAGGTTTATCGGGAGTCTGGCACTAAAAGTCAGTGCCAGACCCCTTGCAGTCCTCTTCTCAAGGCCTCATACTTTCCTGCGGCGAAAAGACACTCGTGCCCAAGCTATAATGATCAGGGCCCGCTCACAGGCTATGAAGGTGCAAAAGATGGAAAACGCAAAAGAAAAGGGGGCGGATAACCAAGGTCATTTGTTACAAGTCTGTACGATAAAGCCCTTAACACTGAAAGTTATGTTAAAAAAAAATTTTAAAAGAAAAAATAGCAACAAAATAATGGTGGAATCTTTTTGTTAAGGGCGCCAGCGACGAAGCAAACCAGCGGAGACTGAAGACGAAATAGATGTTGATGTGATGCGAGCGATACATTTGTCACTGATGCAACGTAGTACACAAACCAATCAGAGAAGCCGACAATCAAGCTCATCCAGCAGTTCGACCAGCTCTTACAGAGACCAAGCACATGGGGTGCAGGCGCCCCAGGACATGTCTTACCTCTCTGCCGTGGATGGGGCTTCTCTTCAGAAAGCTATAGAGCTGTCACTTAGAGATTCTGCTGTTGGAGGAGGTAATATTCGGTTGTTTTTATTAGTAAAGCTTAAAACACAAGGGTGTCATTTTTTAAGTAAAAAGTGAACCGGGTATCACGTGAAAGTACTCCTTGAAAGCAAGGGTCAAGGTTCCATGAACTTACACACCCTGTACAGCAAAATAAACAGTACCATTTGAAAGTACTGCTCATTAGCTTTTATATGAACGGTCACATGCCAGGGTTTTATCCACAGACTGGAAATTTAGAACCACTTTGTACAGCGTGGTTAACAGAACTTCTTGAAAGTGCTGCTCCGTAGCCATCACTTTAATGGCCATAGACTAACAAATCAGAACCACGTTATACAGCACCACGAACAGTACCACTGAAAATACTGCCCCGTAGCTTTCACTTTTGATAGTCGCATACCGGTGTTTCATCTACAGACCAGCAGTGAGAACCACTTTGTACAGCACAATGAATAGTGCTGAATGGTCAAACACAAGGGTTTATCAACCAACTTAAAAGTTAGAACTTGACCATCTTTTACATCATAATAAACGATATTCAATGATTATTACACATATGCATGTTTAACAGCAAATACTGCACAAACAGCCAAACAATTGTTTTTTTTAAAGACACACATAACTTTTCTGTAGATTTGCTTTTGCTGAAAAGTGATAGACATGTGTTTTATATTTTCAGAACTGTCCTCTTCTCCCGATGATGACCTTAAACAAGCCATCAAACTATCTCTGCAGGACAGTGGTCTTCCCCAGGAGGGAACTGATGGCATTGGACACGCAGACAGTTCACCACAACACCCACAAACGAAAGAACAAGAGGACGCTGACAGTGATATTGAATTCGATATTTGTCTTTAAATTGTAATAGCTCAATTAGAATTTTAAATTGTAAACATTTTTATACGGCATAATTCCAAGTGTGTGTGCGTGTGTGTCATAGACAAACTAAAAAATTAGAATCACCCTGGACAGCTTCATAAATTGTGGTACATGAATGTACTGCTCAGAAGCTTTCATTCGAATGGTCATTCATTAGGTTCTGAACCACAAACTCAAATGTTAAAACCAACGTTTGAAGTGTAGTGAACGGTACCCAAAGTAGTACTCAGAGGCTCACAAAGTAAATTCAGCGGTCAAACATCTGCGCATGTGCGAACGTTTTAATACTGTCAATTAAGGCTGTCAATTTTTTTCTCAAGTTTTGGGCGGGAAATTGGCGCGCGGCTGTCAATAATTGTTCCCCATGCACATGTCCGACGTTTGACCACTGTGTTCACATCGTAGGGTTTTCATTATCAGTAGTCTTGAAAGCTAGAAAAACCTTTTAAAGCGTAATAGACATTGCCACGTAAAAAAAGCGACCTTAAAGCTCTCGTTTGAATGATCATACACTATGGTTTCATTCACAGGATTCAGTAGTTAGAACCGCTTGGTATTTTTCAATTGATGGTCAAATTCACTCGGTAATAATCCCTAGACTCGAAGTCAAGATTACCGTGTACAGTATAGGAAACAATAACACGTTAGGGTATTGTTAACTAGCTAAATTATGTAAAAATGGTAAGTTCTTAATGTTATTTTGTGCAGGGGTAGTTTTATGCTTCTTTTTAATTTAAGCGTGCTATACCAGTGCACAATAATAAAAGTGGTATTCGTAGGATATAGTTGCAGTTTTTTATGTATTTTTATGTAAGAATGAGTGATGAAGACAGTAGCTGAGGTTTTAATTTAATACACGCATTTTAATGGTGCAAATCGTAACATTTTATTCCATCAGTAATGTATTTTGCACAATGCATACAATGATGCTAACTGTTAACCTTTTGGCGTTGAAGGGTGACCAGCATCTAATTTCTCCTTACAATATCACCCCTGAATCAAACATTAAGGTCACGAGAATAGTGGAAACGATCACCAATCAAATAAGCTCCTGATTGTTAACCAAATTCTCCTCTTCAGGATCGGAGGAAATGTCTAGAGAGCTGTGTAGAGAATGTGAATACTGATGTTAGGGCGTGAAGAGTTAAAATGACAATTTAGTTATCAGTCTAGATAGTTTGTATAAATACTCGTTATTTAGAAGCTTACTTGTAAAATAAAATATGAATAAGTTGTTATTAGTTTGTTTGTGTTGATTGTTTATGTAAGGCGGATCACATAAGCTTTCCCTTTAAAGGGCAAACGTTAGGCCTTAATACTGTGGCATTTGCTAGGTGAAATACCGTTGAGCTGGAAATTTTTGACAAACTACTGTCATATTGAAGACATGAAAATCTGAAATGTCAAGGATTTTCCTTTGGAATAGCGGTCTACATTTCCCACATCGCTAGTTAGCCAGTTTGGCTCCCTGAAATCATAGACTCTTGCCAATACTTAAAAGTTTGTGGTACCTTTCTAGAACTTGTTATTTACGTTTGAAAGTACTCCAGATTACTTGATTAAACTTTTATTTCCGTTTAGATTTCGAGTGAAAGAGAAAGGCGTCGTTAGTTAACATCGTCAACGTTCGCGTCATTAATGCCCCAAGAGTACTTTGCACGTCTTACTTGCCTACTTCATTTCAATTGCGTGACAGAATCGTGGACGTGACCCTGCAAGACATGAACATGTTTTTGTTCGAGGTCACTATGTGAGCTTGGACCATAATTTGATGATTAAAAATGGGAAACTTATCCTGAAACGGCTATTGAACAGAAAAATATAGAAACCTTGGTTAAAATTTAATCCTGGGTTAACACTAATTGGCCTTAAAACAACTGGGCCTGGGTTTTAATCCTCATGTGTTGCAAGAGTTTCAACATCATCACTCATTATGCTATTAGGTGCATAAGGCCATCACATTGTCTGCCCAACCCCCTGTCACATGCCACCATCTTGGCCACATTCCAGCTCTTCCACCCTGCTTTGCCTCTCTCTCTTTTGACAGTCCTTCCCCAAGTGGTCTTTGGTCTCCCTCCTACCCCTCCATCTTCTGGTGTCCACCCTAATACCATAAAACAGTTGTTCACACCCTCTCTCCTGAGTTCATGTCCTAACCAGTTCCACCTTCTTCTTTGCACCTCGCAGCTAATTTCATTGATCTCTGCCATTTCTGCCATTGCAAGAGTTTCCCACTAAATACATAAGTAGGTGCATTAATAAACTACTCTCATCACATAAAGTGGAAAACCTATTTTTAATTTGCTCATATTTCAGTCTAGGACTCAATATCAACTTAAACCATTTTCTGTTTAGTTTTGTTGTTGTTGTTGTTGTTTTTTTGTCACTGTTGTTTTTTCCTTTCTTGTTTTCTTTTGTATCTTGTCTTTAATTCTTCCAATCAAACTAAGAAAACCATGAACACAGGAAACTAATTTCAGGAATGTGCTTGGGTTGAAAAGAAGCAGCAAATAAATTATGATTATAACAATTAATAATAATATAATAATTTTATACACTCCAAGTGATGATCAGTTTTAGATTAGTCAAATGTTCACAGAAGTCCAGATTTTACAGTAATATTTTATTTTCAAAATTGTTTACTAGATAACTACTATCATAATTAAAATGGATGGAGAACAAAAACAAAGAGGATTACTAACATCCTCTAGAAATCTACCCCATACAAAATAATGATTTGCCTCCCATTGCTATAAGGGTGGATAATGCTATCCACTAGATAAATCTCTTTCCATTGGATTGCGCAGTATATTCTGTTAGCACTTATCCACTGGATGGAGATTTATCTGGTGGGTATCCCCCTTTGAAATGACTGAGCCTAGAATTCAGGAGTGATTATAGCAACTGGGGCTTACAAGACATTCAACATTCCACAAAAAGTGAACTACAAGTAGATTTGGTTGTAAGTTTTGTCTTCAGCCAAGTAATTACAACAAAATTTAGTCTAACATACCAGAATAGTTTCTTCCTTATTCCTTCTTTTTTCATACTAAACAATTCTTCACCAATGGGGTACGATTGTCTGGTCAAATAATCCTTAGGACAAATTTGGAGGGATTCTATCCACTGGGCCTGAGGACAGTATGACAATACAATCACTCAAGTTACTATTAGAGAAGAAATTTTGTCCATGATTTCATCCGTCTCCTTCATGGAAATATTGAGAAATCATACATCACCCAGTTTGAAAATTAGTGCTTCTGAATCCTGGTCACCAATGTTGTAAAGGGTAATTTAACCCTTTCACTCCCACAAGTGACCAAGACAGAATTTCTCCTTACAATATCAATACAATATCAAGCAGGTAGGTGATGAGAATAGAGAAGAATATCAATTATGGGATTATTAGTTGATCCAATAGCAAATTCCCTGAACTAACATCATAAGAATTGTATGGCAGATAGTAAGGACAGGGCGTGAATTTAATTTGTTTTTCTGACAGCCACTTGGCTCCTAAATTCTTCAAAGTGGTAGCCAATTCAAGAAAAGTTGGTCGCCATTTTCAAAGACAAACAAAACCTCTTTTTTACGCTGTCATCGTTCTAGAAATTAAGTAGGGGAAAAAATCTTTAACGTGCTACAAAATGGACACTAGGATGGATGATATGCAACGTTTAAGCTCACCTAAATCAAAGATGGCGTCTAGTTATCGATAGAGATGCATGTGCTGCATTTTGGAAACAAATTTAACGAGGAAGTTTGCTGCAGATTTGTCTTTGCAAATCTTTTTAATTCACAAGATCTCTTAGTAAGGTTATGATGAAACATTCTAGTCACCAATTTGGCGACTAATTTTCAGGATTTGGTCGCCAAAGTGAAAAATTTAGTCGCATTGGTGCCTGTATTGGGTGCAATTTCATGCCCTGAAGGAGAATTACTAATTAGATCTTGGGAGTAAAAGGGTTAAAGAAGATAATACCCAGTCTTTAACCAATAATAATGTAAAACTTTAAGCAAGACAAGACCATAATAGATCCAAGACAAATTTTATCCACGACCCACAAAATGTACACATTGCTAAACTCTAACTCACTGTATTTCCGTTTTTGTTTGTTGGTGGTAGGCAAAAGAAACATTCTAGCTTTCAGACCATTTGTGCTGGCTACTTTGTGAATTGCAGATATATAGTTAGTTTTTTCAGCTCTAAACCAAACAAGATATATTATTCTAGCTGTTTTGATCTGAAATGGTTTGGATCAAGATGATCAAGCATAAAACCCAACCAAAAACTCAGAGGGCATCTTCCCTTAACTCTTTACATCCTAACATCAGTATACATATTCTCCATACTGTTCTTTATACATTTCCTAAGGTGCTGAAAAGGAGAATTTGTTTACTGATCAAAAGCTTCTTTCGTTGGTGACCATTTCCTTTATTCTCATGACCTCAATGTGCAATGCAGGGGTGATATTGTGAGGAGAAATTAGATGCTGATCACTCTAAGGGTTTATATTTTTAGCCAATTGTCAATAATCTGTGATTAGAATTTCCAAATAAAGATTTCAATGTGAGAAATATCCAAATATTAGGATCTCCTCCTAGAAAATATAATACAAGTTGAATTATTTGCAATTAAAATAATTTCTATTTATAATCTTTATAATAATTATGATCATCTAAATTGTTGCTTTATATTGAAATCGATTGCCAACTTTGATACAAAAAAAGAAACCAGACATTTCAGTAATTCCCCAGAATTTTGTGACAAGTGTCCACATTCTCAGAAAAGAACACAACAGTTTCTTTCTCCTGCTTGTGAGGCTTCATTTACTTCGACCACCTTTCCTTTTCCTTCTGAAGTTCCAGAGTTCTGTCCTGGCATGTCAAGTTCTTTTCTTATTTTTGCCAATTGCACTTCATGAACTTTTGTAATTGTTTGTGTAAAGGCTTCTTCGACATTTGTAGCATCCAAAGCTGATGCCTCAATGAATGACAATCCTGCCTCATTGGCATATTTCTTGGCATCTTCCGCAAGAACTGCTCGCAGGTGTTTCAAATCACATTTGTTTCCAACAAGCATGGTGACAATGGAGGACTCTGCATGTTCACGTACTTCCAAAAGCCAGCGTGCCACATTCTCAAAAGTTTTCTGTTTTGATAAATCATAGACCAATACAGCACCAACAGCTCCGCGGTAATAGGCACTTGTAATCGCACGGTAACGTTCCTGGCCAGCTGTATCCCAAACCTTACATGGCAAAATAGAATATTAAACAAAAAGAAGTCAAACAGAGAAAGACATTTTTATCTTGTCACAAGTATGGAACAAAGAACAAATTCTAAATCCCCATAAGGAATTGAACCCCAGACCTTTGGATTCCATGTTCCAATGCTCTACCACTGAGCCACAGAGACTCTATAGTGAGCAAGGCCCATTATGAAGTTCATGCATGACAAGCGTCCTGCATACTGTTAGGATTGAACATTCTAAAATTCCTAATACCTAATTTCTTGGTTTTGTATTCTCCAATAAATCCCTCCAGTGCACTTCCCCCTCACTTTTTCACAGTCACGTTTTTTCGAGGTGTTTCCAAGAACAAAGGAAATGCTTGCTTGTATATCAGTCACAACTCAAAATTTAACCCTTTCACTTCCAAGGGAGACCAAAAATAGAATTCCTCTGAACAATTTAAATGTATTTTTAACACAGAGGAAGGAATATATATTGACTATGAAATTTTATACGATATACAACTCAAAATTTAACCCTTTCACTTCCAAGGGAGACCAAAAATAGAGTTCCTCTGAGCAATTTAAATGTATTTTTAACACAGAGGAAGGAATATATAATGACTATGAAATTTTATACGATTTACCACCAAATAAATCTCAGTGATAAAATAATAATTATAAATATACAAGGTCAAAGGAAGACTGTCACAGTAATAAATACTGAGGAAAAAAATAATAAATAAAAAGTGTTCTTCACCCTTTAACTCCCAAGATGGGATTGTCAATTCTTCCCTCTAGCTTCTTACATTTTCTTGTAAATTAGTTATGAGAATTTGGTGTTAGATCAAGATAAAGGGCTTACATGTGTCAGAAACATTGTGCCCTTACCAAAAACAATATGTACTAAAAAATGTTTACCAGATGAGGGTAAATTTTACCTGAATTGACCAATCAGAGCACTTTGTTTCCTTACATTTCCTGCTGGATAAAGTTTACCCGAATGGAGTAAATTTTTTACCACATGCAATTCCCTAAATAGAACACTTAGAAATAGTTTTCTAGTAGACTTCTCCTGTAGAAGTACGAAAAATATTATTCCATAGGAAGTGACCAATAACTGTTGGACTGAATCTTCAAATACTCGTTCTGAAGGGACTAAGCTTCAGGTCCTGCAAAGATTTACTTCTAATGGCACGATCATGGTTCCCAGAAACAGAAGACAGTGCAAAAGAAGGTGATTTTTTTCATCTATGTTGTTTAAGGTGCAATTCCTCTTCTCTTCACTTAAACTTATGTCATTTTGTATCATTTTTGTCCTCCTGTATGTAATTTTTAACTTAAAGGACATCTTAACCCCTTAACTCCCATGAGTGACCAAGACAGAGTTTCTCCTTACAATATCAATACAGTCGAACCTCGATTATCTGGACTCATCGGAACCTCGGTAAATAGTCCGGATTATCGAGAGTCCGGATAATCGAAAATATGAATATTAAAGAGATAGAAGTGTGAAATAATTATCTGCTTATCTTTAATCAATAGAATGGCTAGCTTTCGCTTTGTAGGCATGTTTTTGATTTGAGTTTATGATCGATCGCTCGTGTATTTACATAACCCATGCAGAAGGAACTAAACAAGCATGAACATGAATTCCCTTGGCAACAAAACAATTGAGCCAACCATATTTCAGCTGAACACATCAGAATATTTCTTTGTCTCGTCACACTTTCGAATTTTGAAAAGCGCACAGGATAATACACACAACTAGTTAATATTCATGAAAAATTGGGACCAGAGAAGAAAGTCTGGATAATCGAATAGTTCGAATAATTGGGATCCGGATAATCGAGGTTCGACTGTACAATATTAAGCAGACAAGTGATGAGAATAAAGGAAGATATTCATTAGGGCATTGTTAATTGATTCAATACCAAATTCTCCCAACTAATATCACAAGATCTATATCACAGACAGTAAGGAGAATTACTAATGAGATCTTAGGAGTTAAAGGGTTAATAGCTTGCCATGTTATTCCCTTCTTCATTTTCTTTCTCTTCTTGGTAATTGTTCAAAAGGTTGTTGAAATCGAGGAAATAAAAAATACGAATTCAAATAAATAAGAAACGTATGGTAGATAGTATTGTAAATAACTTTTTTAACCTTGCGAATGAAAGGGTTAATGATTGTTTCCTCTTGTTTATCCTACTGAAAGGATGTTGTACTGTAATGATTTTGCTTTAGCACCCAGGGTGCTTATTTTCTTATGGTACCTTTGGGGGGTGGGGAGTGCTTGTTCAAAACAGAGTGCTTATTTCTTTCATGAGAAACAGCAGAATGTGGTAAAAAAGCTTTAATGCTTACTTGAAAAGGAATGATATCAAAAACTGTAGAAGTAAAAAATGTACAGCGAACATTCACATAATAATGGTAGGGAGACTACTCTAGCTGTGCTATCTTTGAACCAGAATAGGGAAGCTTATTGGAATGAGGGTGCTTACATCCTCTAAACAAACAACAATTTCGAAAGGGGGCGCTTACTAGAGAGGGGGTGCTTTTTAGAAGGAGGATGCTAAATTGAACCCTTTTGTAAGGTTCATTTAGCACCATGTTGCATAAGGTTATCTTGCAAGGATATCATAATTAACATTTAGCATAACAAGATTGCATCATTTCACCATACCTCTCTGTACTATATCAGAGATAATGTCTCTTGGCGAGAAAACAGATGATTTCAGCCAGGAAAAAAACATATAAATATTCCTGACAAAATTCATGGCGAACTTTGGTCAAATCACGCTCTTAAGACAAGCCCCACAAAGCAAATGGCATCTGAAGATTACAGAAAGACATCAAATCTTTTCCGTTTTGTAAGCGTTTCTATGACTAACTTTTGCATTTTCAAAATTCCCCGTTGTTCTAAATCAAGACATCGTTGACTCGAAGAATACAAGCCTCTGATCGATATGGACACTCGACATGATCAATCATTTATGCAGCGATTGTACTTTAAACTAAAAGGGATCATGCCAAAATGTATTGTTAATGAACAAAGGATTAACAATATGTTAATATTTCAGTTTAAACTTTAACGACTTAACTCCTTGTTAATCTAGCAACCTCGCATGGTGGAATTTTATTTATTCCTGAATTATCAAATTAAGCTTATTTCCACTTTTAAGCCCTACTAGTGCGAAGAAAAATTTAGACAAAATAATCGAATGTAATATTTTTAAACAGCTTGATACTCACCTACATTTCAACACAAAACATGCAAAGCATTTAACACACCTCTTCAGTCAAACGCAAGAAGGGATTTTTTTCATCTGAAAATATAGCCAAGTACGACATACCTGTGCTTTGATCACTTTGCCATCTACTTGAATGCTTCGTGTGGCAAATTCAACACCAATGGTTGATTTCGACTCAAGGTCGAATTCGTTTCGCGTGAAACGAGATAGAAGGGAAGATTTTCCAACGCCAGAATCGCCAATCAAGACAATCTTGTAGAGATAGTCATAATGATCGTATCTTCCACCGGCCATGCCTTTAGTACAAAAACCCGAGAGGGCCGCAAAATTAGGAGATCAAACTCACTGGGCGAGCATCCACCTCTATAGCTATGCAGGGTATGTACCACGTGACTATCCGCGGGAATGCTAGTGATGGTCGTCACGCAACGATTCTTCTTAGCGTTGCGTGACGAGTTGTCTAGCTGGACTAAAATGTACTCTGCTCAGATGTTCAGGCATTTCGCCCCAGATCTCTGGTTTATTCAAAATTAAATTAGTGCTTATTTATTTATCCTTATTTTTCGACAGTTCAAGTTACGATTTTTGAACAGTTAGCATATCCATATACCAAATAAAGGTCCAATCGTTGTCCGCGAGAGACCATGGGGTACTGGACATGACAACATAGTAGCCCGGCCTCCAATGGTGGACATTCGAGAAGCCCTTATCCAGGTAAATTTTTCTAAATTATTATTTGTATTTAAACCTGGTAAGTTCAGAAAATTTTTTAACATTATAAATCGAGGGTTTTCAAACTTTTATATGGTTCTTTTGAGCTTAAAATTATCACTCTATTGAGTCTCGCAAGGAGTCTGAAAAATTAAACAGCCGAAATCTGCAAACTTAACGGTCGTAGGAAGAGGTCTAGAGAATTTTTTTGAACATCCTTCAGTAATTACTTAATTGGCGGATGAGATGTTCGCCAGAAAGTCGAGTTTTATTTCCTGCTCTTTTCAAAATTTTTGATAGATTTTAATGACTCCTTTCGTTCTCACAGTACAACTCGCTTGAAGTAAAATTTCTAATGGCGGTTTCAATTAACTCAGCTAGACCCTGTGAGCAGGGTAACTGGGATAACTGGATGGTACTGGATCCTTGGAATCAAGTGTAGTATTTGTCCGCTGTTTTTTAAAATAGCATCATAATGATTGATTTTTCTGAAATTTTTAGCCATCCCTTTTGCAGCAGTAAACTTAACGAAAGGTTGGTTGCACAGCAACCATGGATTCTCAAGATCCGCTAAGGATCTCAGCTGACAATGAAACACACAAGACACAGAGGAAAAGAACCAAGAAAATTATTGGGCAACTTCAAGAACAGGTTGAAAATACTTGTTTCACAGAACAATAGCAAGCGATTAGAGATGAAGCCCTTTCACTCCCAAAAGGCAGCCAAAAGGAATTTCTTTTTTCAACAGCTATACAATTTTAAGTAAAGTGACAAGGCAGAGAAAAAAATTGGTGTTGATTTCACACCGAATTCCCAGAACTGAATTTAAAAGATTTGTGTGGTGATCAATGAGGAGAATGAAAGGGTTAATCATGCTTGTAGAGCTCCTTCATCTCATGCACGAGTCTCACAGATACAAATTCATCTTATACTCTCACACTGAAGTTATTATTTCTCATGAATTTTATGCATCTTGTTTTAAATTTTGTTTTTTAGTATGCAAACTGTACCTATAAAATTATTTATCCTTTTAAGTATAATTTGATTACTTCTTGTTCCCTTTCTACCTGCATTGAACACTTTCCAACTGTACAAATTTTCATGCACTCATACCCGTAGATCTCCCCATAAAGGCGATGCCAGGGCCATCACAACTGAAGGCTATGCAGTCAAGTCTCACTCTTTGTCAGAAAATTAAGTTGAGAGCTCTGTGCTTGGAAGTGACAAATACTATCAGAATGCACTCTTTTGACCCGAAAAAAAAGCCAGTGTATTAAATACAAATAATCTGATTTCCAAGTGAATACCCATCCCAGGGTAATTTTCTTGTTATGAGAAACAGAGCATTTCTTTTGTTTTAACCCTTTACACCCTAACATCAGAATGCATATTCTCCATACTGTTCTCTATACATTTCCTTTGGTGCTGATGAGGAGAATTTGTTTAACAATCAAGAACTCCTGTAGTTGATGATCATTTTCTCTATTCTTGTGACCTAAATGGTTTGATTCAGGGGGATAATGTAAGGAGAAATTGGATGCTGGTCACTCTTAGGGGTCAAGGTTAAACACTATCATTATAAGAATCACAAAGAAAACATCTATTTGATATATTTTTTTTTCAAAAGCCAAACTCAAGCTTGTTTAAGAGAATTAAAATAAATTATTTTAAAATTAAGTTATAGTTCACCAGTCCTACAAAAAACTACACAAAATCATCAGAGTCCAAGAAAACTGTCTTCAAAATGTGCTTAAGCTGGTTATGTGCAATACTCTTTAAGTGAAACATTTGTTTGCTTATAAACAGATTGAGTTTTACTTTGGAGATTCTAACCTCCAAAAGGACCGTTTTATGAAACAGGAGATAAACAAACACCCAGAAGGATGTGAGTATTTTGTTTTAAGTTTAAATTAAAAGAGTCATGTTTTCTTATAATCACAGATAACATCTAATCTCCATCCTTTTGGTTTTCTCAAAAGTTGTTGAGGTTTATTGTAGGAAATGTCAATGTTGTTGTTTGGCACCCTAAAGCATTGTTATAGTAAAGTGAGGTAAATAGAGAAAAATGTGTTTTGTCTTGTCACGAGCATGGGACAAATAAAAACTTCTGAGTCTCCATGAGGAATTGAACCTCAGACCTTCACATTCTGCACTCTGATGCTCTACCACTGAGCCACAGAGACTCTACGGTGGTTGAGGCTTATTACCCTTCTCTAAGAACCTCTCGTGATTATTTCTTTCAGATGTCAATATCTCAACCATTGCCAGTTTCAACAGAATGAAACAGATTACAAATGATTTAAACCTTGTGGTTAAAGCAATGAAAACATCTTCAATGCTTGAGGTTGGTTTTACAAACTGTTTTTTAAAAATATTGCAGGCTTGCACTGTTAAAAGTATTTTTCAATGTGATTTGTGGCAGATACAAAATGAATTGAGGTCAAACCAAAGGAAAATACCTCTTGAAAGGGCTCTTGATATCATTGGAAAAAATTCTTGCTGAAATTGAGGTTTTTTTCTGTTATTTATTTTTAATGGATTTTAGGTCAGTGGTGATGACTCAATGGTCAGGCGAAAGACTCCTGTTCCTGAACCACGGAATGTAGATGAAGAGACTATTTATGTTGTAAGTATTTTAATACTGGCTAAAAAACAAGATCACAAATGCCATTATTTTTTCAACTGGTACTAGAAAGGTGCAATTTTACATAATGTACTCAAACATGACTCAACAAAATTACAAGTTGCAATCAAATTTAAGTCACTAAAACAATCCTTACCTACTGATTTAGAACCACTAGATCTTGATTTTAAAATCTTGCAATATATACCGCTTACTACCAGAGTTTGAGGTCTGTAGTAAAAGTTACAGCCAGATTTAATCTTTTAACTCCCAGAAGTGATGAAACTGTAACTTCACCCTATCATATCCATTCATTATCCAGCAAACAGGTAACGAGAATACTCAAACATATCAGGAAGAAGTTGTTGTCTTTCAAGATCTAACACCAAATTCTCAAAACTGATTTAAAAAGAAATGGGTAACATCGGGGGAAGAATTAACACTGGGATCTTGGGAGTGAAAGGCGTGAGCAGGACACGAGTGGGCCATATATTCAATTATAAAATAAAGGTTTGGGCTGGAAAAAATAAGGTTAGTAAGATATTTATTTTATCTTTGGGTTCAATCAGAAGGGGAGGATTTCCATTCAAACATATTTTTTTAATTTAGCAGGCTGTACAGTGAAATATGGCCTGCTAAATTGACCAATCATTACACATGTACTGACTAAGAAATACAATAAGACTGTAAACTCAGAATGAGCTAAGAAAAAATGCTTTTTTTTAATTTGTAAACCAGGCAAATTAACATATGATTCTAGGCAAAAGCTGTTTAGAAAATGAAGGCCTGTCCTAGGCATCATTAATTCTCCTGCTACACTAGGAGATGACAGGAAGGGCTGTTTTTCTGTGACTTTGTTGGCATGATCTTGTGGAAAAGGTTCCTGGGAACTCCACCTTTTATTATAATTCTTTACACCCTAACATCAGTAAGGATATTCTCCATACTGTTCTCTATACATTTTCAATGTTATTGACAAGGAGAATTTGTTTAACAACCAAGAGCTTCTTTAGTTGGTGATCATTTTATTTGTTCTCATAACCTAAAATATTTTATTCTGGGGGTAATATAGGAAGGAGAAATTAGATGCTAGTCACTTTTAAGGGTAAAGGGTTATTGCCCATGAGTGATTTATGGTTTGTAAGAAATGATTTTATTAATAGCTTGAGAAAGATGGTTACATTTTGAGCTTGATGATGGAGAAGAGAAAGATGTCTTTTTGTCCTGTTATGAGCGCGGGACGATGGAAAAAGTCTCAGTCCCCAGGAGGATTCAAACCAAAGACCTTGGGATCATCAGAGTGCAGAATCTGAAGATCTAAAGTTTGATTCCTTAACATGACTTAGAATTTTTTTCTCTGTTCCAAGCTCATGAGAAGACAAAGAAACATCTTTTTTCCAGTTATCAGTTATAATGCTCTTTATCATTATCTTAATGTAGGAAAGACTTCCTCCATATGCTGATCATGACTGGGTCAAAGAAATTTTCAGCAAGTATGGAAAAGTAGTTTACATCAGGTAGGTGCTGAGATCTTATTAGAAATTCTCATTACTGTCAGCCATACAATGCTTATGATGCTAGTGGGGAGAATTTGACCTCTGATCAACTTATGATCCCTAATTGGTATTTTTCTTTTTTGTCTTTTGTTGCTTGATGTTGTAATGATTTTGTAAGGGGGAATTCTGTCTTACTAATGGAAATTAAAGGATTAACGACAGTTGAGTTGGCCAAACTTGTTTAAAAGCCTGGCTTGTGGTCTGGATTGCTTATCAGGTAGAAATTGTTATCTTGACCTATAACCAAATTCTTTTAACTAATTTGTAAGGAAATGTGTAGCAGCTGGAGGGGAAAATTAACTATTATGTCAGGAGTCATGATAATTTTGCTATTTGATCAACTACTTACCCCCTAATTGATATTTTTCTTTATTCTTGTCAGTTGTCTGCTTGATATTGTAATAATATTCTGAGTAGAAATTCTGTCTCAGTCACTCATGGAGGGTAAAGTGTTAATTTCTTTTCTGCCAATGATCTTTTAGCATCCCAAGATTCAAACACACTGGAGATATTAAAGGATTTGCCTTTGTAGAATTTGAATCTGCTAAGGTGGCTCAAGAAGCAGTTGAGGTACTTGTTTTTTTTTCTACAATAATTGAACATGATTTATTTCATTCAGTCGCGTTTTCCCGCGCTTTCTGGTAGTATACTTTTGAATCCTCATTGTTTCCTTGTCTGATTGGCTGTTATGATACGTTTTCTTTCGATGTTAAAAGCGCATGAAAACAGGTTTCCTGTATTTAAGTCTTAAGATTAGCTAAAACTGGAATTTATGGTCACCTGTTGGGATAAATGGTTTTTAGATAAGAAGATTTTAAGTTTGGAATAATATTTTGCAGGTTTTTAACAAAGAAGGAAGAATCAAACAAAGTAGTGAACCAGAAAAGAGTGAAAATGGTGTCAATGCTGAACAGTCGAATGAACAACAAAAGGTGACGAAACCAAAACGAAAACGCTCTCATAGCGAGTCAGAAGTGGACGGACAAAAAACCAGCCGTGAAAGGAAGAGGAAGAGAACTACAAGTGAATCTTCGGTAGATTCTGAGGCCAACGAGCCGCTGATAGATGTGAGGCCGAGTGATGGAGGCAAGCGAAAAGGTAAAGAATGTAAGACGACTGAACAAGATGGCAGTAAAGGGACAGAAAATGGAGAGAAGGGAGGGAAAGACGCGGACGGAAAGGACAAAAAGGGAAAGAAGTTTGTTCGGTGGCAAGAAGGTGATGAACAACGGAGCAGCAATAAAACTGAGAGCGGAGAAAAATCTCGTAAAAGATCCCATGATGATTCTACAAGCGGCGAAGAGAGCGTGGAGCAGAAACGACAGAAGATGAATGACAAGTCGGATATGACCTCGAAAAAGGCTTCTGAGGAGAGTGGCGAAGATGAAACTGTTGAAGGAGACAAGAAACACAAGAAAAGGAAGAGGAAAAAGAAGGAGAAGAAAGAAAATAAATTACCACACTTAAGAGTAATCTCTAAGTAAGTTAGTTTACATTCTGTTCTGTTCATAACAAATTCTCTTTAGTTTTTTTCGCCTGATTTCACGTGATATATTTGGGAGAGTTGAATGTTGACCACGACATTTTTTATGCTGTTCTAATCAACCTTTTTCCTTTTACAAAGAAAAATCAAGGGAATGATTAATCATTCCGAATTAAGTGAATTCGCGAAGTTTTTTGGGAATAATTTATGAGGATTTAGAACAGAGTTCCATGACATTTGGCATATTTACCTGATTCGAAAAAGTTCGAAGGCAAAACTCTCTAATGACTGAAATTGTTAATTTTTGCTGAATGCTGAGTGGCACTGAGTGGAATTAAGAGTTCCTTATTTTTTTGTTTGTTCTGAAGGTTAGAATGGCTCGAGCTGAAAAAGGAGTATAAAACCCTGCAACGCGAAGCCATGAAGAACTTGAAAAAACAACTGCAAGAAAAAATTCCCGTCAACTCCAGTCAAGCTGGAAACAAACCTCTAAAGTCAACACAAAACAGAGCTGATGCGTCATATAAGGAGACCGAAGAAAAGTCCTCACAAGATGGTGGCGCAACTGTAAAGACGCTATCGTACACTCCAGGAGTTTTGTTAAAGTTCCATTGTCAAGGTCGTGGAATGACCAAAAAAGAGTTGAGGGTGAGAGGAAATAAGATTGCCTAGCGGAACGCAGCGGTCAAACTTCTGTGCATGTGCGACATTGTAATGACTAGGTGGCGTGCTTTCAGGCTTCCAGAGCCAAGTTGTTTCACACGAGTTTCAAACAGCTGCATAAGCTAGTAAGTCACGGTGTTCTAAAAGTGTGTTACTTTTTTGATAAAGCTCAAAACACGATGGGGGGTTTTGCTTGAAAGCAGTTGTTTCTTATGCTTCCCATTGAAAGTTTGCGCGCGAAATCAGCGTGCGGCCGGTAAAAGTTTATCTCCTTGCACATGCCTCTCTCGTTTGACCGCTGTGTTCATTTAATCAGACCTGGATAACTTGATACAGTACCTGTGCGGACATCGCAGATGTCGCTGGTTCAAATATAAGCGGAGCACTTTGTTATAAATATTTAGGGCGAAAAATGCATGTTGTTTTTCTTTTTTGTACTCGCTTCTCTTAAACACACAAGGTCATGGATAAATTATGAGCGTTTCCTTTCTCCAATTTGTAATCGTAGGAGAAAATTTCATGGTCTGCTCCCGTGGCGTATTTAGATCTAGAAGAAGGCAGTGTTGAGGTAAGGTAAATCTTTCCTAAATAACCGTCACATGATTATATTGACATGGTTTACACAATTCCCTCTAACATCATCACTTTTTGACATTTCTTTTTTATTTCCTTGGTTTGCTGCTGGGCCGAGCATTCATGCAGTATGTAAGAGGGAAGGCGCAAAATTTCAAATTACGTCATGCCATGTACAATAGCGCGACTGCTCTTCCAGTTAGGTTCTTTAAGTAACCGCTGTTTGGGAAATGAGCCCGCGCTCCCTCCCACCCCAGCATATTTCTAGCCGAGAATCTGTTTAATGTAAGATCATTATTGAAACACATTTTTTTTAATTTTCGTAGGGTTATGTTCGTTTTCATACGGCAGAAAATTGTAACTTGGTGCTGAAAAAAATGTCATCTGCAAACGATGAACTGCAGCTCAACAAACTGACGGGTAATTTTAATTAGCTTCCTAGAGGTCTGGAGAAATAAAACCTTAAAGTTTCGATGGAAAGTTGGGGAAAATGAAAATTTGAAAGCACCCGCGTGTGTTCTCGCACGCGCGCGTTAGTCCTGCTTTCGCCGCACGCCTACCACGCAAGTTACACTACAGTATGAAAGGCCTGGAAAGTTTTTTTCGGAAAATTGAACGAAAAAGATTATTTGGTGGTAGAATGGACGGCTGTAAGGTGATACCAGACGCTACTAGTACATGTTCAATTAACAATTCTGATTAATTATGGGAGAGAAACTTTATCGCAATTGAGAAAAGTCAAGGAACTTCGAAAACCGAAGTACGTGGTAACAAGATGATTGCATGATGACAAATTGAAGAGGAAAAGGGAGTACCTCACCTTTTAGAATTCTCTCAGTAACTGCAAGGAGACTTTGAAATGTTTCCATCTCGTATTAACGCTCTTTAAAAGCGATTTTAGCTTTTTTATTTTACCTTTTATCTTTGAATTTGCAGAGGAGGAAGAAATATCATATTGGGAAAAGATAAATGCTGATCGTATGAGTAGATATAATGCTAAGAGGGAGAAAAAAAGAGGAACCGAAAAGGTAGGAATTCTTGATTTAACAGATTCTATCATGATTTAGAACGTTCGTAATTCTTTCTTTGCCCTCTCTGTGGGATTTCCAAATTCTAACGCAAGGACTGTTTTAAATTTAGTGCAAGTACTTAGGGGCGTTAAAAAAACATGCTACGTGAAGCGTCATTTTGCTTTCTGTAGAGCAGCCTCTTGCAGAGGAAGATTATGACAATGTTAACATCATAAGATCATTAGAGGTTAAGTATAGTTTAACCAGCCTTCTTTGTGCAACTAACTTGAAAACGGAAAACAAACTTAATGAACTTTTTTGAGTTATTGAACGGGTTCTTTCATTTTGCCTGTAAAACGAAGTTTATGTAAAATATCTTATATGTAGCTTTCGGATGACCTTATGGGTCTTGTTTCGCGGAAACCATAGCCATTTTGCCCTGAGTTGTAGGAAGAACCTCATCCTGTGCGCTTTTTAAATCTTCTAGTGTAGCATTGTTTTCTGAAATTGCTGTTTTGCGTGAAGCGGAAACATGCATCGCTTGGTCGTAGAAACGTGAACTTTTTTCACCCTTTAAATCCCATGAGTGACCAAGAAAGAATTTCTCCTTACAATATCAATACAATACCAAGCAGACAAGGGATGGAATGACGAAAAATATCAATTATGGAATCATTAGTTGATCCAATACTAAATTCTTTAAATCAACGTAATGTGAATTGTATGGCAGACAGTAGGGAGAATTACCAATGAGATCTGGAGAGTGCCAGGGTTAATAACTTAGAAGTAAAGTTTGAAGCTTTTAGGGTTGTTTTATAAAAACAGCGTGACTCTTAAGACTCGTCACTTTTGCTTGCCGCTCGGCTAAAAAAAAGGTAGCAAGAGAATTTGAAACGTAGACTCAACTGAAGTTAATGGTTTTCTGTGGTTTTATAAACTCATGAATTTTCGTAACTTACGCAGTTGTTTAGACAGGATTCATTTTAGTTGCCAGTGTTTCTGTCGTTTATTTGGTGGATTAATCTTGTTTGGTCTCGCCTTTTGGTCAGTGCTGAAACCCAAACAGGGTTACAAAACTGTGTAATAACAACAAATTCAACGAAGCGTGCTTTTGATTTGGCGGTAATTGTTGGATCACGCAGCCGGCAGCGCTTTGAGTTGGAATACAAAGCCAGCCAATCAAAACTAACCGCTGTGAGAAGCTCATTTAATTCCAAGTGACGTCAAGTTAAGTCAAAGATACATTACTAGCACTACGGCACTCTTTGCATATGAACAGACTCAACATGGAAGAGGGCAACCAGAATTTATTCTCACCAGTGTCAAACGAAGCAGAGTCGTAACGCAGTGGAAAAAGTTAATCCAAACCCATTTTGTTAACGAGATATATTTTCTACTAACACACAGACATAATGTTTTTCTAGAATAACCCTCCGACTGACTGGGGTCACTTGTCATTGTGCTATTTAGCTTTATTTACAGGCCAAGTACACGAAACATTTCGACGAAACATTCCAACGCAGCTTCGCGCAGCGTTTCAGGAATCTGTTGTGTAAGGACAAAATATTGTGCAACTCTAGGAAAGGAACGATTCGAAGAAACATTCGTCAGGATGCTACCAGATACATTTTTGCTAGAATGAGCGCAGCTCACTACAATATTGTATAATCTTAACTTTCACTTGGTCAGTCGAGCGCTAACTTAGTTGCGGTTGCCGTAGGGACCCCGACAAACCCACGCATTCCTTCCTAATGGTTAAAAAAAATAAAAAACAATGCTGATTTGTGATGCGTTACACTGTAACTGTGCATACGACAGCTGTGTTGATTGATTATCAAAACTCGCTGGCTATTCTGAGGCTTTCGAAAAATGTGTAACCACCATTATTAATGATGTAGCGGATTGTCCCTCTTTAGTGCTATGAGTGGTCTTTTTCAGTGGTATTGGAGCAGTGGTATTTGAAGTTTATCTTCATCTACGAACATGCTGGCAGCGAGGTCCCAGTCTTGTAATTACAATTTTAACGTCATGGAACCTCTTCTCGCTTGCAATTCAACGCTCTGTTACTTACAACGGGGAGTACAACGAGGTAATTTCTATGAATAATTGAATGGAATTGCTAAAAGATTTGACGATAAAGAAAACTTTGAGCATACTCAGAGAAGTGACAGGCAAAATTTGGATTTTAATCGGCAGTACTCTATTTACAATCTTCCTCCTAATCGAAATTGATAAATCGGCGTCTGACATCCACTGTGATGCAGAATTCAACGACAAGGATGAGAATCTCATCAACAAGAAGTGTTATCTTGAATACCAGAACAAATACAGCAAACTCCCCGTGTATGGCTTCGTCCTCATTAATTTCTTCACTATCGCAATCGTCCCTATTATTTTCTCAATTCTCCTCAAATTGAGGGTCAACAAGCTCGAAACCTCTAACCAAAATCTCGAGAGACAGCTTCAGCAAAATAAAAGTAAAGTTTTATTTTACACGTACTGTGGTCAGCTAGCCTCCACAATTCTTCTGACGACTGGTTTTATCATCGTATTGCATACTAGCGTTTTTCGTGCGAGTACCCATTTTCCGTCGAATTTTAAATGTATTCTTTTGAATCAAGGTTCCAATTCCTCAGCGATTTCATCCACATACGGCTCACTGACAAAAACTGATATTTATACGTGTCATAATACACGAGCAACTGAGAAATTCGGTGGGAGTGTTGCCTTGACTGTTTTCAATGGAATCTGGGCCATTTTCGCATTAATTGAACTTGTCTGGATCTTTTCACGGGCAAGGAATGGTCCGCAGTTCATGTGTGACCCTCAATTTTATGCTGATCATTTGAGATCCAACCGAGAGCAAGAGCAGCGGCAAGAACAGCGGCAAGAACAGCGGCAAGAACAGCGGCAAGAACAGCGGCAAGAACAGAGTGAAGAAGCAGGACTTCTTTCCGGTCTTCGATCTGAACAACAAGCGGAACTGCAAGCGAAATTGGAACGTTTAAAGGTCTGTATACAAATACGCACGGAGCGACTTGAAGATCTGAATCAACCTATTCGACCTCGACTAGGAGAAGGCTCAAAACCTAAAGATCTAGAGCTCGATCAAATTTTTGTTAAGTTGGTAATCCATGATGGTATAGCGAACTATGACTTTCCTGAAGATAGACAGAAACAACTCAGAGTATTCCCGAAACCGAAATCGAATCAGTCTGAATATGTACATTGGCAAGATATTATTGGTGGTTCTAACAAGCGTATTCTTCTGATTGGTCGTCCAGGCATTGGTAAAACAATCTTATCCACTAAGCTGCTTCGAGGGTCTGCATTCAATAAGTTCACGCACCAGAATTTTGATGCTGCATTCCTTGTGAAATTTAGGCACTATAACTCTAGAGGAGAGGACCTTGATCTTCGTAAATTGCTGTCTTGCTCAGAAACAGTAAGCCAAGATCTGGATGATGAGGTCTGGAACTACATTATCACTAACCCAACCAAAGTTCTGTTAATTTTTGATGGAATTGACGAGTTTAATGCCAGGTCAGCGATCTCCAATGATGACTCGCGTTTCAAGGACTCAAAGGAAGAGAAAATGCCTCTCCATTGTCTCTACAAAAAAATAGCCTCTGGAAAACTTCTTAAGGGTGCCACTGTTATTACCACATCGCGACCAACTGCTTCCTCATGTGTTAGACAGCTGAGATTTGACAAAGTATTGGAAATTCTTGGCTTTACATCTGAAGAAATTGAAGACTATGTGACGAGGTTTACCAAAGAAGACCAGAATCCCGAAACCGAAAAGAAAGCAATATGGCAACACATCAGCACCAACTTCATTCTCTTTACTTTGTGCTATGTTCCGGTGAACTGTTTTATCATTTGTTCCTGCTTGTCATGGTGGCGTTCCCGTAGCAAAAGTTTACCTACAAAGCTTACTAAGATATACAGTACAGCGCTTAAGATTTTCTACTTCAGACATAATGATAAATATCGCAAGAGTGAAGAAGCCCATGATCAGCTTTTTTTAAAACCATTTCACGAGTTACCCACTGAATGTAAAGAGCAATTTCAAAGACTAGGAAAAATTGCTTTTGATGGAATTAAAGAAGGGAGACTACTTTTTACTTCAGAAGAAGTTAAAGGACTAGAGGATTGTGGATTGCTCCATCGTTTACCTGACCTGCCTAGCCAGGAGGGACTTGATGAGGACAAAGCTCAATACTGCTTCATTCACCTTACATTTCAGGAATTCCTTGCTGCTAGGCATGTGGTTGATACCATGACAGAAGCCCAAGCATTGGAACAATTTATCACTGATCACATCAATGAAGGTTCATGGCAATTAGTGGTACAATTTGTGGCTGGATTATTAGTTGACACTGATGAAGTTAAACAACTGCAATTTAGCGAAATTTTAATGAAGCTTCTTCCCATGTCAACTTCTGAAGTAGGAAATCTACTGGGACAGGAAGATGCAGAGTGCATGATGACTGAAAAACCAACTGCATTAATTTGTTGGCCGCATGATAAAAGTGAAACAAATTTAGCTGTGACCATATGTAGATGTTTATACGAGCTAGACATAAAGCAGGAATCTTCCATAACAAGTAAAATGGAAGAAATGTCTTTTGATGTGGTGTGGTTTAATGAATGCAAACTAGCACCTGCCGACTGTACAGCAATTTTACATTTGCTTAAAAATCGTGATGAAAAATTCAAGCTGCGTTTGGGATTTAACTTCATTGGTGATTTAGGTTGCATGGAAATTAAAAAATGGATTGTTAAAAGTAATTGTGTGGAGTTGGACTTGACTCTGAACAATATAGGAGAAAAAGGAGTAGAATACTTATGTGATACACTGAAACTTGAAAATTGTAATCTCACTGTGCTAGTCCTGGATGGTAATCACATCGGAGACAAAGCAGCAGAACTCCTGAGTACTGCAATTAAAGATGGAAATTGTAAACTAACTAGGCTCAACCTGAAGAGAACCAAAATTGGAGTCAAAGGAGTAGAACACCTGAAAGATGCACTAAAATGTGTAAATAATAATCTCACCGAGTTAAACTTGGCTTATAATGGCATAGGAGACGAAGGAGCAAAATACTTAAGTGATTCACTGAAATGTGAAAATTGTAAACTCACTGTGCTAAACCTAAGAGAGAATTATTTAGGAGACAAAGGAGCAGAACACCTTAGTAATGCACTAAAAGATGTAAAGTGCAAACTCTCTGCACTGAACTTGGAAAAAAACATTATAGGAGCAAAAGGAGCAGAAGTCCTGAGTGATGCACTGAAAGACAAAAATTATTACCTCACCATGCTAGACCTGGGAGGTAATAATGTAGGAGACAAAGGAGCAGAACTCCTGAGAGATTCACTAAAAGGTGCAAAATGTGAACTCACTGTGTTATACCTGGATTTTAACAAGATAGGGGACATTGGAGCTAAACACCTGAGTGATGCAATTAAAGATGGAAATTGTAATCTAACTAGGCTGCACCTGAGCCGAAACAACATAGGAGAAAAAGGAGTAGAATACCTGAGTAATGCACTGAAATGTGAAAATTGTAAACTCACTGTGCTAAGCCTGTCATGGAGTAGTGTTGGAGACCAAGGAGCAGAATACCTGAGTGTTGCACTGAAAGATGGAAATTGTAAACTTACTGTGCTAAACCTGGAATTTAATGCTATAGGAGACCAAGGAGCTAAACACCTTAGAGATGCACTAAAAGATAGGAATCGCAAACTCCCTAGGCTGAGGCTGAGACTGGGAGGTAACCTTATAGGGAAAAAAGTAGTAAAACAACTGGGTGATGCATTTATACACCTAGGTTATTAGTTATTTTTGAAAGATTAAGCATTTAGCCTCCCTTTATCTCTGTATCAGCGGCAACATCTTTACTATTTATAATTGTAGGAAATAAAAGAGGAAGATGTTGGAAACTTTACGCTGTTTCTTGTAACAAGAAGGAAAAGATATCTGATGGGTTTCTGTACATAGGATACACAATTTGATCAAATTCAATTACAATACAGCATAATCGGGTGAAAATATTACATTGTGTAGCAGCAAAGCTGCTGAAATTATAATGAATTGTGGTCAATGCACCCAGAACCAGCAAAACCTGAACAGACTATACCTTTTTGGATTAAAAAAAAAAGCCACGGAATACACAGCTGCTTTGAAATAATTCAATGTTTATGCCTTAAGTACAGTTTGCTTTTTACTGACTTGTCAAGTATCAAAAAACACAGTTTGTGTTATGAAGACAGATTATTAAGAAAATGCCATGAAGGGAAATGAATACTTGTTCAACACATTGGGATGTACAAGTTACTGACAATAAAATCCCAATAAATGTATGATACCCATCCAGAGAGTTTTTGGTTCTCAATAGTGCGGATTCAAGGCATTAGAAATGACTTGGAGGAGCTGAACAACATTAGTGCATGTCACAAGTTTGGGCATGTATCCATAGCAACAGTGTATATTGATTGTGTTAAAAGTGATGATATCCTTTACCACTTAAAACTCTATGGAGCAAAAATAATTTGGTAGCTATTGATGATGAATGGAAAGAAGACATATTGACATGGTTGCAGCTTAAGCCACATAAAATGTGTGTTTGCGATTAAATAACAACAACTTACAGTTAAATTTTGACAAATGTGCAACAATAAAGCTATTGTGAGCATAGGAAATTTTGTGTCCTTGTTGAAGGACGATCTGTAATGCAAGTTTTATGCTTCACCTTTCCACTTTCATCTTGAGCTGGGTAAAAGACTGCGAGTGACTGTATCAAGTGGCTGTAGATCCTCATTAAATTCCAGAGTATACTGGGTGTTTGGTCATGGGTTGGTCTCCTGTTGGACCTGGGGTCTATTGCAAAAATCTCTCTCTGTAATGGCTGTTCATGGAAGTTGACTTAAAACTTACAATTTGGTGGATATGCTTTTACAAGACAGGAGGACAAAAAATTGGCATCAGTAACTTGGCGGATATGAAATTTGAAAAAAACTGGATGCATATTTGCATTCATTCAGGCTTTCTGTTGGAAAGAAACTTTGTTTTGAATGCCTGCAGTTACCTAATTTTTTTATGCAATTGCTTTATCCTGTAACTGTTTGTCTTGTTATGCCAGAGATGCAGGTTTCTCACATATGTATACAGAGAGCAGAAAACAGCATTTGTTATGTAGTGTGTAGAACCTTTTCTGGGATGGGGTGGGGGGAGGTAGTGCCATAAATTATTGGCTGTTATTTCAATACTTATTACTAAGGATTATTTCCTTTTTTTTTTCTTCTTAGTTTTGACTTGATTAAATTTTGTTTTGTGGGTTGAGGGGTTGTAGCAGGGTGAGTCATTTGCCAAATAGGCTGTCTTTTTATGTTTTCATTTTCTTGGTTAACAAAAGATTCTAGGCTGAGATAGCTTTTAATTATAAACAGCCTCAACTGTTAGGGTGATGACATTGAACCCATGCAAGAAAACCAATTGCTTATTTTTTGTATCACCAAAAGAAAACAAAAAGTTACCACTATAGCTTATTAGCAGATGAACTTTTAATTTAATGGGGTTGTTAGAATGGTTCTCATGAACCTATGAAATATACTTTGGCATATTTTGTATTATTACCCTCCAATTTGTTTGTTTCCATTTGGAGTTACAAGGCTAGTATACTTTAGCTAATACATTTTGGTTTATTGGTTAGAATAATTTTATTAAACCTGGTGAGTACTAAGTAACTGTTCGTGTTTAGGTTGATTTCCATTTTCCGTGAAACAATTTGCTACATGAGCTGATCACTCTTGCAAGAACACATCAGTTTGTAACTAGAAAACAATGTTAAATATCAGCTGGCACGATATTTTATCTTTCTTATGCTTTGATGAATTCTTTCACGACAGTTAAACTAAAATGTCGTTTTATTTAATAGTTCTTTTGCATTTACATGACAGAACTATGTAGGTGACATGGGTATACATGAAAGAATACGTGCATAGACAAATTCTCTAACCTTTCTTCTCTTGTTCCTTAAACTTTTCAAACTTCGTATTGGTATTCTGCTTGGTTCACGATCGCGTCTACAAACACGATGCGATTTGCGTTTTTGCTTCGATTAACATTAGATAGCTCAGTTAATATAGCATGTTTCTAGATGAAAGATTCACTCATAAATGTTCGCTTATAAAGAGATCTCTCGTAAAGTTCATGAAATATTTTAGTGTGGGTCTACCGCGAACGCTGTGTGCATATTTTGTATGCGTTTTGAGCGTATTACACACAGTATCTGTGCTGGTTCTGCACTGCAAACACTTCTCTTCTTCCGCCATTACACCATGCCATGTGCTCACCTCGTCAGTTAAAATGTTTTGTGCATGCGTAAGAGTCAACACGTAGCGCATGCGTGTTAAGTACTTGACTGCTGAAATTTCAACTCGGGCGTCTGAGTAAAAACAGAAACTGCTGAAACATCATCAGTCCGGAGACCCTCTGGGCTGAGGAATGATTGACATTAACGCAAACAGCATTATCCGCTACCAGTGGGCTGCCTTTGGTGTGAATATGTGATGATCGTGCAGACTAATCAACTTTCGCCGCCCCTCCCCCCACCGTCCACTCTAGCCCTTAATCAAACATGGCCGGTCGGATAAATGATCGCGATCTTATGAGACGCTTGCACAGAAGGCTAACTGTTGTCAACCATATTTTTATTCCATTTTTAGGTTTCAAAAAAGGCAGAAGCACTACAAGTCCAGCGACAAAGTCATATACGTTTTAAAGACAGCGATGGTGAAGAGGAAACCTAAGATCAGAAGTGAAAAGAGCCCCACATGTATCCGAGACAAACATTTTCTCTCGTGGGCTTCGTACTTGGACTTAAAGGCCGGTGCACTTCAAATGCGACAACTTTTAAGAGCCGTGGCCATTAAATACTATTTGATAATATTAAACACAAGGAGGGTGCGGGCCGCTTTTTCCAATACAGTGACCTATGTTGCCATACCAAATAGAGGTATTGACAGGCTCCTAGCTCGTTCTGGTCATTAAGTTAGGAAATGAGGCTACAAACTCGTGCAGTGGGAAAAAAAAGGAAGGTTCTTGATCTTGAGGCAACCTTCAAAGTTGGAATAAGTGGCTAGAATAAGAAGCTTTATAAACTCTATACTATTCTTCATTCCCCCCCCTGTTCGCGACGATTGATCCTCCTCGGCCCCGTTCCCCCTGAAATCACCCTCAAAATCTCCCCCACTCCTCCCCTCCATAAATAACGACAGGTCCCCTAACCCTTTACCTCCCGTGAGTGACTAAGAGAGAATTTCTCCTCACAATAGAAATACAATAGCAAGCAGAGAAGTGATGAGAATACGGTCAAGTTAGGGGATTATCAGTTGATCCAATACTAAATTCTCCAAATTGACATCATAAGAATTGTATGGCAGATAGTAAGGAGAATTATCAGTGAGATCTTCGGAGTTAAAGGGTTAACGAAAGCTAAGCATTAGACTAAACATGTGAGCTTGTCGATTAATCTCCCACTTTATTCTAGTACAAACTAACATGATGTCAAGATGGTCAACAAAAAAAATTTGTCGTCTTGTGTTCAGCCACTGTTGGTTTAGTCTAAGATTCCTCGGCCAAAGGAAATCGTGATTTATGGTGTGTACAACAGCATGGATGAATCGTTAATTTTGTATTTATCAGCAAAGTTTTGCGCTTTGTTGCCCAGTTTCTTTGTGTGCTTCTTTTTTCTTATAAACCTTTCCTCTTGCTCAAACAATCCCTCTTTGTCCCACTCGTCACAAAACCGCGTACTCTTTAATCGATTCCAGAGATCCCTCTTTATGCAAACGAGAACTACGAGGACTTAAAACAGATGGGAAAATATGTGAATATGAGCAGTTTTAACATAAGAATGCAGCTTCTTTCACAAAGAATAAAGCACTGTAACTGGTTTGGTTTAGGGTAAATTCGCCCCATTGCAAGCTCGCCCCTACCTCCTTTCCGACTTCGCCCTGTAACGTAAAATAAGTTCGCCCCTACCTAAACCAGTTCGCCCCAAATAGTTTACTTTCCTCAGAACGTATTCCTACGGAAATCATGACGCTTTTACAACCAACATGCAATTTTCACAGCAAGACCATAACAAAGTGCGAACAACATGCAAATTCTGGATCAATATCAGTATCTGGGCGAATGCCCACCTACCCCTCCCCTAACCCAACATTAACCTTAACCTTGTTGTCAATTGACTGTTGTTGAGTTAGGGGAGGGGTAGGTGGGCAGTTGCTCAGATACTTATATTGTTCCCAAATTCTTAGCTGTGTCAATCCTTTAACCCTTAAAAGTGACTGGCATCTAATTTCTCTCTACCAGATCACCCCTGAATAAACATCAAGGTCATGAGAATAAAGGGAAAGATCACCAGCTAAAGAAGCTTTTGATTGTGAAGCAAATTCTCCTTTTCAGAACCTTAAGAAATGTATAGAGAAGGTATGGAGAGTATGCATATTGATATCGGGGTGTAAAAGATTAAAACGCACGACTAATGGCAAAGCTGCTATATTACACTAGTCTTTGTTTTATTTTAGTCATATTTTGTGTGATTTAAGTACCTGAACTAAGTCTACTTTTAGAGTGAACATAAGCAGAGTCAAACCTTGAGCTCATGGCGACTAAAGAAATATTTAAAAAAAAGAGTTAAAAAGATGGGGTGGATTCGTTTTACGTTAAGGTGGCAAACTTGCAATGGGACGATTTTGATAGTTACCGCTGGTTTTTCAGGTCTGTGATAGATAGGTAAAGAAAAGGCCATGAGGATAGCCAGACCATAATAAGGAAGGTCTTGGTATTCTGAAACCATACCTTATACTCACCCCCCTCCCCCCTATGATGATACTGAAATTAGTGACCTAAGCGTTTGAAAATTTCGTAAGTTTAAGAAAACTTACTTCAAGAGCTGAAAAATGATGGAAATGACCGAAATTATACAAATTAGCAGCATTGGTCTATTATGATCACAACTGCTCTTTATTATGGATAACTTTTTCTATTTTGCCTGTAGGTTACCATAAGCGAGTTCATGTTGACAGTCCGGGCCATAAACAGTTTTTTCTATACCATGACGTCATGAAACATGGCGTTACAGTCCAATTTTTAAAACCTTAGAAAACTTAAAGTCCCGCATTTTTGGTTGAAATTCCTAATACAGTTTTCTTGAATTTTTAGTATCCGCACAATATGTCCCCTTAATCCCTGTTGGGGCCACGATTATTGGCGGTTGGTTTTGTAGTAAAAAGAGCCAGTCAGAGTAACGATGCATGAGTGGGAAGCGACGGAAAAGAGATAAGAGTCGCGGAACCATAATGGGAGGGGTGGGTGGGGAAGCTTCAGCGGATGCGGAGGGAGTTGAAGAAAACAGAGAAAGGAATTTCGGGACTATACAGGGAGTGGTGGGTAGGGAAGCTTTGGAGGATGAGATAGAAGTTGAACGTCTCATTAGTAGGACTTGTCACTGCAGCTTCATAAAAAAAGAAGAAAAACTTACCAGAAATCAATACTAGCGAGGTACAACCGCTTATAATAGCTAACAGTGGGGTGTCCGTTTTCTCACAAGTCTTCCAATTCCAATCGTCGCAGTTTTTTGTTTCATTTTTCTCGTTTTTGACTCCATAAACTTTACACAGTAGTTGTGTCTCGCACCAAAAGCATGAAGGATCTTGTACGCATCTGTTACAGTTTTCTGCGCCGCTGCAAACCAAAGTAGAGTTCGTCGTTTGACTGCAAAGAAGCCTTGATCCCAGGTAAAGAGCTGCCGAGACAGCAAGTAAAGTTTTTTGCAGGAGATTCATGGTTGGCAGACAAAAGTAAAGCTCCTTTCATTAGAAAATGTATTTTAAGCGATTTTAATTCGGCTGCAACGCATTGAATACGGTTAATTCGTCAACCTCTGAGTTTAAATCTGCGCGTGCAAGCTTAGAGTCTTATCAACGAGACAAGACATTCTTTTTTCTTATCGACGTAGCTTTAATTAATTTTGAAATCGCTCTGAAACACTAGTACCACACAGAAGAGGAAAAATAAGCCGTTTTTATTGTATTTATTTCTTAAAACTCGAGTTTTATACAGGGTTGCTAAGTTACCAACTTCTTAAGTTGTTATGCAATGTCATCTAATGTTCACAGCTTCCAATGAGGTTGGGATACCTGTGATTGCACAACGTGAGCATAATTTTTTTACCATTCCTAAACAAAGTGCATGCTCTGTTAAAAAAAGTACAGATCTTGCGAGCAAGGATGTAGTGCCCAGGGTGTTATCTCGGAAACTCGGTTGTATTGCATCAGGCCTATGTCATGTCATGTCTCCACGCATGTATAACCACGCGCGTTTCCGTTATATATTGCTGACGTGGTTAATATAAACTTCCCTAAGTGGCAACTTCTGCCAGGAAATTCTTGTCAAAAGCTACTTATCTAATTGGCGATAAAGATCTATTAAAAATTCCAAGCTGGCTTTCTTCCACTTGATGCAAAATATTTATTCCCTTCTTAAGCGAGAGTACATCGTGTCGCTGGACTTTGCAGAAAACCCACATAAAGGTAAGATATATTGATGTAGTATTAAATCTAGATATTTTTCAGATCGTGATTCGCAATTCTTGCCAATCCCTTCCATCTTAACTCACCCTTCTCTTTTGAGGTTAATCTTTTGTCTTTGATATTTGTCCACGCAGACAAATAATTATACAAGATTTTATCCTGATAAAGTGTGATACATACTTCAATCAACTCGTAAAACTAACAACATATGCTGGCAATCAAACTTCATCTAAGCTCTTCCCTGCCCCTTTCAGTTTGTTCTTTCGTCTTTGATATTTGTCCAGGCTAGCAAGTGATTATTTTGAGATATCGCTCTTTTCAAAGCGCGCTACTGTCCTCCATTAAGTAATAGAACTAACAAAATATGCTGACCAGACAAGAAAATAAATGAGAAACTTTGACAAGCTCACAACTTTACGTGCGTTAACACGAAGATAGTGAAATTATAATGATCACTGGTAGCCTGAGGTCATCTGATCAGTGTGATTTTGTTGAACGTCTTGAAGAGTTGTGAACTCTGATAAATCAAACCCTCCACAAAGTATTTGGTGACGCGAACGATTGCCTTACCATCTTTACATATGCCCTCTTCAGAAATGCTAACAAACTGGATCTATGTCAAATTTTACTCTAGCTCGGTGATTTACAAACTCGTTCGACCTGATAAGCTATTGAGAATTTACCCTCTCAAAATAAAAAGGACATGAATTCGAAGAGAAAGCGCTATTTCCTTGGAGTGAATACATTGTTACGAAAGCTTCAAATAGGAATCAACTGTAAAAAAAAAAAATTATAATATCAATGAGATTTTTAGCGTAAAGAGTTGTACCGAAGCAAGTCGATATCGTGGTAAAAGCAAACGAGGGTTTGTGAAAAATATACACGTATCGCTCATCGCTTTTAGTTCATCCAACAACGGCGTGCAATTATCATATTCTGACCATATATCATATTTTGAAAAAAAATTCGACCCTGCCAGCCTCGAACATAAAACAGAGATCTAGGACAACGTGTAGTCAAATAGCGTCAGCAAAAATTTAATTTGTTACTGACTGTTTCAAGCCCTTCGTAATGCAGCTTGAATATATTGTTTTTGCTAACTAAGAGATATTTTGTGTTTGGAGATTAGAAGAAAATCGAGCAAAATCAGAAATACTACATGAATTTTGCTGTCCGCAGAGAATGCAAATCTTAGAAGATTCTGTTTGTCCTAGCCTATTTGCCAGTTTTCATTTGCGACTTATGCGTGTGAGCTTGGCAATGTTTTGCGATTCTCGTGGCAAATCGTTGCCTTGGCAAATCATTTTAAATCTCTTCTAACGGGGTTCGCTTATCTTAATAACATTTCCCTGATTTCTTATGTTTTCAAAGTGTAGCTGCACAACAACAAAATCCACTTCTATTTTAGCAAGAAGTTAAACTGACTATGCGATACACGAATCATTCTCATTTGAACCAGGCGCCACATTTAATTAAAACATTCTCGCAGTATTTTTGAGGAGTTTCGCTAAAGGAAACTGAGAGAACTTAGAAAAAGAAAAGTTCAAAAAAACTTCACCGATTATTATGTGACTCATGTAAAAATAGACCAGCGCAGGGGATTCCCCCAAACGCTAGCAGTCATCAATTATAAACCAGCCGTCACAAGAACCAATTTCCATATCGCATTACTGATCGCTTGCACGGGGATCTTTCCCTTACGATTTTTCTTGGCTTTTCAAAAGAGAGGGTAAGTTTGAAATAGTTTGTTGATCGTTCAAGTGTGTAATAGCGCTCGAAAAGTATTGAAAATGTCGTGCTTTGACGTATAAAACGCATCAAGTACTCAAACTAATTCTATTCAAAATGGCGGATTTTGTGCTTCGTGCAGCATGTTTTTCATGCTTTTCTCGGAATCAAACGGACGAAATGTGTCTTCATTAGAAAGACAGGAACATGTTCTATAAACTTTACTTCCAATGTTTTCTTTAATTAGCGGAAAATCTCGCTTCTTGCGCCAATTTGTATCGAGCGGATCGATGAAGCGAACTCAAAACCGTGGACAAAGACAGAGCATATGGACGCGAACGACACGCCATGTCAGCAAGTTGCTGAACTACAAAGGGAATACGAGCGACTCTCTTTGGAGAAACACCAGTACCTTCAGACCTTAAACAACAGCGAAGCGTTGAAATTGCAACTACGCGAAACTCGAAAAGATGCTAAGCATTTATCAAAACAGAAGAAGAAATTGCAAGCCATGACGGATATTGGGAAGCCGAGCGAAGAGGTAATGCAATGGGTGATGGTAATGATATTGTTATAGCAGTATTTCTTAACCCTACTTAGTGAATGAAAATGTGAAACTGGGATAAAAAAAAACAGAAAAAAAAATCAACGAGACATATCATAGTTTGGTTCAGAAACTCCATTCTGTCAATCAACCGTGATTTTAGAGAGAAAATGATTAGAATAAGCTAATTCAACGAGTTTATTCATGCGAAAACAAAAAAAAATCTCTATTTTCATTGTAAACAGCTGTGTAACTACCTTATGAACTTGGCCACCAAAAATTTCTCTAAGAAATTCCGTGAAGGGTAGATTGTTAAAATCGATTCTGATGGTTTCCGGCATCCTTATTCATGGAATTACGCCATGTTTAAAGAAAACTGGCGGCTAGTGAATCCAGTCCGAACGGGAAAATAATTTTCTTTGTTCTTCACAGCCGTATCCCACGCAAATATTTAGAAGTTCAATTCCAACGTGATAAAGCAACCAACTAGTTTCAACCAACTTAATTTTAAGGCATGGCACCCTTGACAGGTCCTGACCCTTTGTCGGTCATGTGAGAAGCTTAGAGAGATCTCATCACCAGTAGAAATAAACTGGAATTGAAAGCGCGGGGGTTCCCTTGCGGACCAAGCTTTTTTGTTTACCACGCATACAATTATAAATTGCCTACGCTCTGCTTGTAACATCAAATGGTTTTAAGCGTAACGCAAATGTGAAGCAAAGCTTTATCTTCAATCACCTTTGTAAAAGAATGCTGGCTTGAAACCAAAACTATTGAAATTGAAAACGGTAAGTTCGTGATCATGGATTATTCCAAGTTTTTACTTTCATTTATTGAATTTTTTTTCTTAAAGAAGCACACCACATTTGCCATGGTGTGCACTGTTGCCACGGAGGTGCACCATGGAAACCAATATAATCTACCTTATTCAAATTCGTTAAACTGCCCACACAGTATCGTCACCAACTAATTAGTTATATCTCGTCGGCGTCGGTCGAAGCTTAATATTATTCGCCGTAATCCTTTTGAAATTTGCGTCGGCGAGAAAGCAATAGATGCAAACTCGATTACAATTTGCCAGAAGTGCCTTTCCAGTTTAGTCACCAAAACTTTTAAGGGTGCTCTGTACGTTATAAAGCGATCAGACTTCTAAACTAAGTCAAAGTCGATAAACTAACTTATATTAACCTGTAGAATTGATCCAGTCCAATTTAAGAAATATTATTTATATAGCATCTGATGTGAACGGGATTTTTTTCTAATTAAGGATTTGACAAATCCTCGATGTTTGTTTGTGTTGCCAAAGAATCTCTAATTTCATGTTTTCATTCATAAGTAAAAATTTAAACATGGCATGAAGTATTGAATAGTGGAATTTAAATCAAGGAAATTTTGTGTCACCGAAATTCTGGCCTCGGCTGGAATGAAGAATATTTACCAAAGAAGTGTGAAAAAGCACAAGTAATATGCAAACGGTCAAATTTGTTACTTTTGCTGCCAGGGGAAAAAAGGAGGCTCTGTAGACTTTCTGCAAATTTCATTCTATATAAGTTCAATTTCCTTGATAAAAAAAATACACCTCTTCTAAAAGTATCGCTTCTGAAGTTATTTTTAGCCTCACATAAAAAATAAAACTAAACAAAAACAAAACAGTTGAGTCTTCGGTCACTGGGAGTGGCTAGACGGGGAATAAAAATATGGGTGACGCCGATGGGAACTTCGCCAAAGGAAACAACTCCCAAAAGAATCGCAAAGCTCTATTTGGATCATTTTTTGTTCACACACTCTCTCTTCGGGCTTTTCCCCCATCAAGTTAACAACGTGTTTCAGTTTAAGCGGCGAACGGCTTGCAGCCATTTTAACATGTGGCTGGCAATGCTTTCAAATTTTGTTTTGAGACCGTTTATAGGCGATGATAAGTCAGACTTTCTACCCGTTACTGGCAAGCAATGTTTCAAATTTCAATACTTGATACACTCCAAACTGTTTTACGTTCGGGTTTTGCTGGAGTTACATTTTGCGTTTGTTAAGTTCTTGCGAATTTTTTCTTCTAACTAAATGCTAAAAATAACTCGTTTACTTAAAAAACTAGCTTCGAACCCTCTAGAACTTCTGTCGTGATATTCTTAAACTGAAAAGTGTTAAACTCTGTGGTCTGCAGTTTTTAGTTCCTGTGGAACTCAAATTAATCAGTGTTGGAAATTTTTGTTGCATGTTGGTTAAAGAACTACGAACCTGTAACTAAATCCACATGAAGTGTACTTCCCCTTAGCGAAGCTATGTTTACTTATTGGCAGAACAGTATGGCACATGAACTTCTTTTTGGCAGGAAATTTACATTCAAGAACGTGGTGTTTGATACTTAAAACATCGAGACTGAAAGTGATACTGGGTGTAAATTATAACCTAGCAGATCCTAGAAAATATTGAGTCGTGGAATATGTTTGTATAGTTTCCTGTGGAGAGCGCTTTGCAGGAAAAGTGTCGCGTTAATTTTCATAGAGGTACGAACCTGCAGTTGTGATTGAAACAAACTTGAACATGAAGTTTTTGGAAAGTGAAATAATTCCGCAAAGATTGTGTGAAGTGCGAGAGGTTCACCATATCGTATTACAAACAAAGAGTGTGATAATCCTTTAGTTACACCTCTTTCCGGCGACCCTGGAAAAACTCCATTTTTGGTAAAAATCAGGCTGGTTTTGCATTCAGTTGGTTTTAAGTGGAGCGAAGCATCGCGCTATAAGAGTTTTATTGTTTTCAGTATCTTAACAATAGTTCTGTTTGTTCTTCTTGACATAAATCTAAATATTTCACTTCCGCTCCGTGCATTGTTCCTTAAATATTCCCCGCTTTCGTTTCACAAATTTCCCCAAACAAACCGAAATTTTGATAACACTAAATTTAGTCAGATGACACCCCGTTTCACGAGGCTAGCAAAGTTTACGATCATTTTAGAAGCTGTCTCTGTGTATAAATTCGGCAAGCTGGCGTTTCGATACATTTATTACCTCAACTTCACTTCGATCGAGTTACGCTTATAAGATGTCATGGATTTATCAGTCTCTTCAAAGTGGACGCTAGTGGTAATGCTTTTTTCCTTCTTTTTTTTATTTTTATGCGGTTACCTCGATCGGCGATCTATTTCCGATCTTTTCTAAGTTTAGATGAATCGACTTATTTCGGCCGTTTCTTGTGACGTACAAATTTCCTTACTGTTATAATATGTTCCACATGAAGGAAACTGTAGAATGTTGGTGCGATAAGCCGATTGACAGAGACCTATCAGCAAATGATCGAGCGAGACGAGGACAGACTAGTGGTTTGCCTGTATGGTAAGGTACAAAACTGACGCAAGAAAAATTGACACAGATTGAAAATGACGATCTCCGAATGGCCATGACGGTTCCTTTAATTTACAGCCGAAAAATGTCTTCTCTGCCTCTAAAATGAATCATGACATCATCCTTTCATTTCAACAATATCTAAATTTTAACCAGTAGCCTTGAACGGCTCTGTTGAACTTGAAAAGTTTATCTTTTGCAAAGCATATGTTTTCACTTTTCTACTGAACCCAAAATTCGAATGATTTGTAACATGACTGCATGTGTAACCAGGGTATATCGTTTTCGAAAGAGAGTCATTCTTTTCCGCCAGAATACCGTGACAGTCTTGGAATACATACTTAATTCCATCGCTAGAGAAACAACAACGTAGGGAATTAAATTCTCAATCACCGATTCGCTCTATTTCCTCACAAATTTTATTCTAGAAAACGAAATTTATAAGACGTGTCTTTTATTTTTAGCAAAAAGTATCGTAAAACTATTCAAATTGCTTTGATAAAAACAAACTTCCAACAATTAATGATATATCGGTTTATTGAAATTATTTATACATATTAGTTTCATTACCCATTAGATCGTGTTAAATGTTTCTGGTCTAAGGCGCGAAATAAAATCCTACTGAGTTATTTCCTACAGTGGGCTTCGAAAATAAGAATAAGTTAATCTTTCAACCTCTAGAAGTGATTAACATGTAACTTCTCCCTATAATTTTCACACATTATCCAGCAAACAGGTATTGAGAATACTCAAACTTATCAGGTAGAAGTTGCTTACTTAATCTGTTACCAAATTATCGTAACTAATTTACGATAAACTGTTCAGCAGCTAGAGGGGAGAAATAACGATCAGATCTTGGGAACTGGGCTGCCTGTGCTTAAATGCGTGGTTAGGCTGTGGTGGTGCTAATCTCTTTTGATTTATACTGCTTGTTATGACAGTAATCCAATTTTTTTTCTATTTTTGCCAGACATCAGAACAGCCTCCTGAAGACCGGAATCCTCGACCAGAAAATCGCTTTGCTCTAGAGCCGATTCACACTGCACTGGAAGAGACATTTCTTTCTCGAGAACAAACATACTCTCTTCCATCACAAGAAAGTTTCTCTCCTCCGTCATCCCCACAGGATTCAGAAATGAATGGTCACATCTCCCCGGTCCTCCCTAGTTCTAACGGGTCTGCTAAGGTTGAAAAGTCCCCCGATTGGGGCACCCTGGATGCCAAAACTGAAGCTAACGCTTTAAGGATTGAAAACCGAGATTTGGTCAGGATGAAGAGGAAACTGGAAGAACAGGTTCGAAACCTGTTTCAGGAGGTTGCTACTGTGGGAACGAGATGTAAAGAACTTGAGAGTATTGCTCAGCGGTAAGTTACTTTTCTTGGATGGTCACGCGCACTCGATATGGCTAAATTCTGATATCAAAAGATATTTACCATCTGAATTACAGCAAATGGTACAGGAAAGATTCTTACTTAATCCTTAACAAACTATTCAAGGGAATTATAAACTAAACAGAAATTTTCAGAACAAGCCTACTGCTAGACTTTTGTGGGCTAATCATGGTTCCATGTTTTCCTGCGCGTCGCGTCGGTGCCTTTTTTTCCCGCTTAGTGCCGGTTCCGGCGCCGGCTCCATATTTTCCCGCGCTTGAGACTAGCTCCCTGCTTTCCCGCGCATGGTATCGACTCCGTGTTTGCTGGTCCACTTTGGCTTTGGCGACCTCCATTTTCTCTCTCCTTCGTTGAAGTACAATTGGTACTTAGTTCTTGACATACTAAGTTCTTTCTGAGCCTTCTACGCGTGAATAACTAAAACTTTTCCTTCTTATTATAGCCTTGAAGCCGAAAACCGACGCCTTTCTCATCAGTTGGGTCTTGCACATAGCAGTGTGCAAAGAGGTCATCAGTATGGTCCAAATGAAGAAGTCCAACTGTTGAGAGCGCAGGTATAATTCGATATATTTTTTTTTTCGCAGAAGAAACTAAAAATACAGGGGCTTGCCTCTTGTCGGTCATGGCACCGAGTACGATGACAACAACCTTAGTTAACTCCTAAGTTCTTAAAATTGATTTTCCCTTATTGTTGCTGGAAAATCTCTCGTAAATTGTTCACATGACTCGTTTGTTGGGAAAAGTAATGACCATCACCATATTGTTCTCTATACATTTCCTAAGTTGCTGACAATGAGAATTTGTTTAACAATCAGAGGCATTTTAAATTGGTGATCATTTCCTTTAGAACTAGTATGTTTATCGCATCTGGGATTTTAGAGTTTAACATAATCAACCACATCTTTCTTCACAGCTGAAATTGTATGAGGATGATTTCAAGAAAGAGCGATTGGAAAAAGAACAGTTGATCACTCAAAAAGAACGCCTCAAGAGAGAGCTGAGCGACTCCAACGCAACTGTTGCTGGTCTGCAACGTCAGCTAAAACAGGTAGATACGATAAATTAAAATACCATTTTTATACAGCTGAAGGTGTAATGTTTGTTTGGGCACATGAAAGAACAAAATCACCGGCGTGTGCAGTTTGTATTCAACTAACGTGATTGCCGACCATCGTTCTTTCCCTTTTGCCACTTGTAATGAATAAGAAATGTTGGGGACATGGTTATCCTTTGAACAAGCTCAAAAGCTATGCGTTGAACGTCCGCTCGCAATACTAGACCCACAATCAAACAGCTCTTATTTTCTGCAATGGAAAATCTGTAGAGCATCAACTGCTTACTGGACCTGGAATATGCGTTCTAGTGGTTAACACGTTAGACTCTGGATCGAGTAGTCCATGGTCGAGAACTCTGGCTAGGAAATTGTTTTGTATTCTTGGCCAAGACGCTTTACTCTCACAGTGCCTGAACTTTACCTTTACCTACTGAATAAAACTGTCAATGTTTGTAGTGTGCTGTTTTCTGAGCTTCGTGTATTTCTTAACATCAAAATAAACCTTTGAATTTCTAGGCTCTCAATGGCGAGGGTGGATATGGTGATCCACGTGGTGCACGAATGCCAATCATGAGCGAGCCCTACGTCGATCCCTACACTCTGAGGCATCCTTTGGATTATGGGATGACTCGTACATACTCGGGAGGATACATTGGTCCTGGAGCAAGCAATGTAAGTACTGACTTCCTACCTCTGATTATGCTAGCTACGTACTCCTCAAGGTTTGCTCCCTCTGTCTGCTACCCCTCTTCTACTTCATTCTGTCCTTCTTATTCTGCATCTCCTCCTCCTTGTTCTTTTTCTTCATTTTCTCCCTCTTTCCTTCCTTCTCCCTCCTTCCTCCCGTTCTATTTTTCCTTTCCTTTTCATCTTTCTCCCCTCCCCTTGTGTTCGTTTCTTTCTCATTCTTTTCATCTTTCTCCTTCCTCTCATTCTCTGTTTTTCCTTTTTCTTCATCCCTCCTGCTCATCCTTATTTCTTTTTCCCTTCTTCTCCCTTCCCTCTTACTTCCTTATTTTTGTTTTCTTTCTTTTCCCTTCCCTCTTGCTCCTTCTTCTCGTTATCTTTCCCATGTCCTCTTCACCCCATTCCCACCTCCAATTCCCCCTCCGTTTCCTCTTTCCCATCTTTCTCCTCTTTCTCTTTCCTTTTTTTCCTTCCCTCTGCATTCCTCCCACTCCTCCCATCCCCTTTCCTTCTCATCTCTTCCTCAGTCCTCCTCCTCACATCCTCTTTATGCCTGTACCTTTATCTCCTCTTTTCCTTCCTCTCCTTGCTTTTCTTTCTAACCACTTTTCCTCCTTTTTTCCGTCTCCTCATCCTCCACCTCCCTTCCTCTTCATTTCACTTGTTCTCCTTCTCGATCCTTATTTTCCTCCTACCAGTCAACGAGTTTGACCATTTCATAATTATGGCTTTTTTTTTTAATTTCCAGACTGTGCTTCGACGTGGACAGACACCGTACGTCAAGAAGGCGTTCCTGTCACCAGACATGACAGCCGTCATAGATCGTGACGTTGTAGATGGTCCACGCACGGGACCCCCAAAAAGCATTTAGCAAGGAGTTAACCTTGTTTAGAGTTTTCCTTGCCGGCTTGCTTTATTTACAAGCTCCATAACATGCGCAATTCATCACGTAACAAATTGATCATATTTCATCAGTTCTTGGAGCGAATTGTGGGAGAGGGTTTATTTCGCGGGTGTTTTTCGAACATTTGCGAATTGGGTTCGTTGTGTCGAGATTCTAACTAAATTAAGGGAAGAGTGTTTGTAATGATATGTGATAAACATGAGTGTATTCAAACTAATCCGTGCTTTTTTTTATCTCAATTATATCTTATAAAGCTATTTTCCCATTTATGATAACCTTAATAATACTCTTTTTTTTTTTAATTCAGTTGTAAGCATTGGGGTGACATTATGTCTCAATTCTTTCATTCATCGCCACTCGTTAGTCAAGATTCGTTTTAATTTTTTTCTGTTAGAAAAGTTGGAAACGTTCCCCAGTTGTTTAACACTCTGTTTTTTTCTCCCATTACGACATTGTCTCTGTGAAGTTATTTTCTCCCTGGAAGTAAATTCGTTTTAAAAAGAGACCTGTCGATTAAGTTTCAATAAATTGTCTAAACTGAGTTTTTGTAGAGCACGCAGGTCCATAAGATGTTTTTTCCTAAAATTTAACAAAGCTTTTCGCCGCAATTATTTTTAGTTTCATGATTATAAGTAGCTGCTAGCTTCCTAGAACACAGCCCATGGCTTTTTCTATAAATTCTTTGTCTAAGAGATCAAGAAAGCGCATACTTAACGTTGAGTTACCTGTGGCTACAAACATGGCTTGCTTGCAGAAGTCGATCGAGGCAAGATTAATCGTTTCAAAACTTAGATGAACGTGGCATCCAAGCGTTTCTAAACAAGCTTTCAATGAGCCAGAGGTTGAGCGTTATTTTTTTATATTGAAGACACCTTACCGCTATACAATAAAATCTTGCCTGGGTTATATATCTAGCAATCACTGTAGACAACAATTTTCCACTTTTCATTTACCTCAAAAAGTGAGTGTTTATTTTAAAGAAGCCAAAAAAATTAATAAAATTTCTCAAAATGTAATGTTTTTTGGTTTGATTTACTTTCATCTCAGATTATTTACATCGTCTGCATATACAAATACTTTTAACATAGGCAAACCATGTCAGTATCTGAGCAAATGCGTACCTACCCCCCTTACGACATGAACCCGGACCCGTATGATGCCAGATTAGGGAGGGGTACGTGCGCACTCGGCAGTGGCTCAGATGCTGACATTGATATGAAATGATTAACGATTTTTTTCAGCCTGTGTAACTACGACTGTCGGTCGATATATTACGACTTACTGAAAGCTTTTTGATACAAAAAGGAGCGTTAGAAAAAACGATACAAACATTCATGAGAAATTTACACAATGATATATCAGTACGAAATCAGTCTTACATGTTAAATTTTTCCTCCATATATATACAAAAGGTTCTAAATTTTAGAATATATTTTCATCATTGCTAAAAGCTCTATGAAATAAATTATTTTGTTGTCAAGTTTAAATTCGTAATGCTTCTATGGTGGTATACAATGTTATACTATGAAAAAATTTTGCGAATGTTTGTTAGTCTAAATTTCGATTATAAAAAATACTGATCTTCGAGTTAAATACATTTACGTTTTTCTTTTTGTTCGCCCGTAATTCCTTCTTGCTCGAGAGAGATCTGACGGCTGATCATTTACAAAACTTCTCTGAGTGATATCTCCGTGCGCGCGAAGATTTAACCGTGTATTGATACTACGCGTCCTCCAGATCTCTCCCGTTCAACAAAGAGATAAAACGCGCGAAATAGAGTCTAACGTTTACAAAAACTAAGCTTTTTCTGTTATTGTCCGCAACAATCCCGAAGATAATCTTCGGCATCGGCCGGCTGATTACGTTCTGTTTGTAGGTTTCTATCGCTTCACCGACGAACACCGACACCTCTTGCTGTACGTGTATTTGTGTTTCCTGAACTTGACCGAAAGTGACGGGCATCGAAGTGTGACAGTTTTCGTGAAGGTGCGCTGTGGCAGACAGCTGGCGCAAGTATTAAACAGGGGTAGGGGAGACTCGTGACTGGGTATGTACAACGAATTACACTGGCCGTAACAATAGTTGTTCTTGACAGTGACTGGTAAACAGCCGTCGACTTTGATGGTTTGCTTGAATGGAAGTGTTTTGCACCAGCCGTTTTTCAGTTCAGATTTCTTCATGATAAAGACGTCATGTTCGTCTTGCGACTTGAGCCCGTCTTCTTCAATTTTAGACGGGCGCGCAGCGGTTGTTGTGATGAATAAACAAAGAATGATGAGTATCTTTGAGATCATTGTTATTCTGAAATAAAAAGAGGGGAAAGTTAAACTCTTTCCAAGGTCTTAGTGTCAGCATTATGTTCTAAGGAGCTTCAGTGGTTGCTGTCTTACACCTAGCGTTAATTATGAAAGCAAGATAGTTTTGTAAAGTAAAAGTATTTATTTTATCATAACAGCACAGGTAATGCTATATTTTTGGTAGCTTTAGAATTGCGATAGAAATGTTTTTTGTATACGAAATATTGTCATAGCTCATTATTAGTGCAAATCAATTGACGTCAAGAACTCAAAATAGAACTTTCCGTATAATTCTAGTTTTGTCAAAGTAAAAACAAGTGTACTGCCAGGAGCGTAGGAAATTGCTATCACTTTTGAATCTGATTGGTTGAGAAAGTGGCGTGAGTTTTCTACACCAATCACAAGGCAGAGAGAAGCAAAATTAATGCACGCGCAGGTTACTCCCGTCATTCACTTAAAAAAAGTGGAATCAATACGAAAAGGATTACAGTTGTGGTCTATCAGTGATGCCATTCAACCCTAACACCAATCAATAAGTTTTCAATTCATCCTTACAGCATCATCTCCAAGACAAACATCAAGGTGATGGGAATGAAGGAAATAATTGTTAACTAGATTATACTAACAGTACCATAGGAAATATAAAGAGAGCGGTTTGAAAATAAGAAAAAAGGCGTGTCATTCATTTCCGAAAGGGCTAAATCTTTGTCTACCCTTAGGCGGTCTGATATCAAGTTTATCTCCCGAGCAAGCAAGATATTGCCCTAAATATCACTAATGTCAACTAGTCTGATATCTTATACGTAATAGGACTAATATGACTGTCCGATGCATGACTCATATCTGATCCCAAATAAGAAAAAAACTGAATCGTCACGATTACATGGGAAGTTAATGGGAAAAACAATTTTTTAACAGGAAAAACGAGCTTAAAGGAACAACTGGTAAAAAACTCAAATTTTACGATTCCAATTCGGACCAATCGCCAATAGAGTTCTTATTTTTTTATAAAGTTCATCTATTCATTAATTGGTGATTATTTGTGTGTTTGCTTTTATTTGTTTTTTTGTTTTTTTTTTTTTTGTCAAATTGCCCGTAACATCCTTTTTGAAATATCTCATCCTGTGCAAAGAAACAGTTTTCAAGTCGAGGTTGAGCTCAACTCCAATAAACAAGTTTTTAATGAAAGAAGGAAACTGGTCTTTAAGGAGGGAAATGAAATACAAAACGCGAACAAAAAAATTGATATTTTGCCCGATATTTTTCTTTTGAAGAAAATCCATCAAAGGGGATAAAATTAAACATGGTAGAGGTTACGTATAAAAAATCGACTGCTGTTTTTTCTTCCCGAAATTTTCCTCTAAAAGACAAAACTTTCGCAAAGGCTAGTAGGAAATAACTGCCGAATTCTTTTAGTTGAACGTTTATCAGTCTAGTTGTAAATATGAGATATTAACCGCTCTTTTTATTTTTACTCAGCCCTAAGGGATCAGAGGTTTGCCTTCCAAACAGAAATATCGGATCTGACGTATGGATTATAGTTTCTTTTGACTGATATCCGTCTTCGTTTACACTGATTCGATTCTTTTAGCTCTACCGCATGATATAATATAAATGTACGTTTTGAGGGAGCAGATTGTCAATAAGGCAATAATTTGCACAGTTTTTACCCAAACAAAGCTCTCATCAATGTAATTCATCTAATTAAAACTCTTACCTCTGTTAAAAACTGATAAAAAGTTCCGTTTTGCTCGGATTACACCAAAATTTAACAACCAGGATAAAAGCGCCTTGAAAAATCCTCAAAATTTTCTTCAGACGTTTACTAGTTCTGACTTCAAATGTTTGTTGTACAAAAACAACTTGATTTTCAGCAACTTATAGTGTTACTTGTAGTCACGTGTCAATGAAGGGCATGACGTCATTGTTGTCATTGACGTCACATATCATCGTCCAATGCGCATTAAGCATTACTGCAATGTTTAAGATCAAATTTCTCAAAATAAGCCGTGTTTTTGTTGTCTTGATGTGAATACTTCAAGAAATTTCGTTCCATCCGAACATAGGAAACTCCTAGGTTCTGTTGCTTCATTTGTTGAAAAGCTATGCGGTTTTAAAAGTACACGGAAAAGGAACGCAAGACGTCTTACAGTCAAGATTCTGAAGAGGCCACTTTGTACAGTGACTGCATGTTACGCCCGTGAATACATCATCCTCTCGACACCGCATCAATTAATCCACCAATTTACCTCAGTAAAGTATAAATCCTTCTTCTACATCAACAAAAATAATCTAGTAGTTTCTACTTGAGCAATTCAGTTCCTAAAGTTTTAATTCGTATTACCACAAAAGGCGTAAATAGAAACAAAACATCTTTCCTTTTCGCTCAAACCACAAACCCTGACGTAAAAGTTGCTTAATGGTTTGTTTTGATAGAATCACCACTTAAGTGACTTGTAATTTTTTCCGTTGAATCTCAAAAATAGCTGATTTATTGACCATTAAAGGGAGTTGCCGGAAACACGCTTAGGAGCTTAACTTTTGTTTCTGGTAAGCCAGAAGGTCATGTAAATGTTTGAAGATTAATTTCGTTTTCGGATTGAATTTACTGTTTCTTTAGTTCCAGAGCTTTCAACAAAAGCGGGTTATCGGCCGTCTACCGCCGCCCGCTATGAGATCTCTTACCGCTGTCTGTTTAGCCCGCGAGACGACTCCCGTGTTTGGCTTTCACCTCACGGCCCCTTTCTGGGCACAGACTTCTATTACACCATAAACAGCCGCTTATGGAAAAAGTTATGAAAACGTGTGAGTTCTGCAGTAAAAGCGATGTCATGGTGTGCTGTTTAAATAGTTTAGCAACAATTGTTAACAACTCAACTGTTGTTTTGTTATATAACTGTATCACGAACCAGTGAACTGCAGAATAAAAAAAAATCATTAGTGGTCTTCTACATGATACAGAGAAAATTATTTCACTGTTATCTCCCGTAACATGCTTTGTGATGTGTTGAAAGCTTTACATAATTCCGAATATCCTATTATCTGCGATTACAACAGAAGCGTAAACACAAAAGCCCGCCAGAAAATTCGAAAATTTAATTCCTCGCAAACTTAGCTCTTTGTTATTGAAAGTTATTCTTAGATCGAAAACTATGCAAAATCTAAGTGAAATACATTCATTTCTGAGAGTTTTACTTCAATGCTAAATCTCTCTTAAGGGCAGGCGTCTGATCTAAGATACGCACGATTTTCAAGCTTGCGACAGCTATCTTTACCCAAAAATGATCACTTGACACCTGATAGGTTTAAAAACTTATAGAAACATTATAATCTCAATTTAATTATAGTTTTTGTTCACTTTTTATTCCTTTTGTAATCCCGACAGCCCCCTTTATGGCGCCTGAAGACAATTCCCTTCACAGACAAATGAAAATTAAGAATGACGAGTGCATTCCGCTTAGCGACGCAATACGTGTGTAACAGAAAAGCGATCTTTAGAACAAGTAGGAACAGCAGCTAATTGAGGAGTGCTAATGACTTCAACGCATTTTTGCCACTGACGCGTTAATCTCTATTAACGAGATATTTATTTAGATAAAAGCCGTTTTCTGCTCCTGATGGTGTCATTGTAAACAGCCTTGTTTTCGCTGCGGGACATTTATTGTTTGCGATTTTTCCTGCTGTTATTTAAGCACGCGACACAATTTTGCTCCTTTTGGAAATACGACCACTATGTTTTACTAACGGTCTAACGCACCATGGCTCTCTTAATTGCAATTGCGTTGCCTGCTAGTCTACTTCCTAAAGGTAACCATCTAATACTAAAATCCATCAATCAATTCCTCAAGTTATTGAATTACAGTTTTCCTTAAGTTGTCCTTAATTTAACCGGGATGATCGCTGTTGATCTCTCGTCATTAAAGACTGATTAGACAACTCTAAAGGAAGAGAGAAGCTCTTGTGACTCTGTGAAGATTCTACGCAATCAATTCACTACCTTTGGTTGAGGTAACGGAACAAGTAAATAATTTGTCCTTAACCTCTCATTAATACACGTCATTTTAAGCTAATTGAAAAGTTTCAAGGCTCTTAGTAATTACAGTTAAGCGCAATTAGTTAGACCTGTTGAAATTCTGAAATAAGTTAATGATTAAACATGAGCGATACTTGCTTAAAAAAACCTTCTGAGTGAGACTTTCACGTGTTGACTAGTGTATCGTTAACTAGACATTGACAAATGATGAATCATTTGCTTAACATGTTCGGCAAAACTTCGATCAGAAAAGTTTGGTTTCATTAATTAAGTTGATAGTGTGAATTGCCGGCCACCGCAAAGAGATACAAAAGCTGACTCTTCGAGTGCTAGCCCTTCGTCAGAGCCATTCAACGCCTCCCACCGACGTAGCACCAAAGTTTCTTTGGAAACTCACCCCCTTTAATCTGTCAGATAGCTTTGTTTCGAATTCTGGTCTCTAATTCACGCTTTTTTAGATTGAAAGCATTGTATTAATCGCAACAAGGCCGGTAGTTTAGGACTAGAAAGCTGATAATTTGCTTGCGCAATGTTGGCAAAGTCTGATTGAGTTCACTTCTTGTCAAGTTCGTAAACCGTGGAGTAAATTGTTCTCTACGTTCTCTTGCACTAAGTGCGCAATGCTGACAAATTGATAATTGAGGTATCTCTTTTAAAACTCCAACTCTGTTGATGAAAGAAGTTTTTGTGCTCTTTCCGACATGTGCGCGATAGAATAGACCGATGTTCCAAACGCGCAAAAATATTGCCTAGAGAGAGAAGATCTTTTTCCCTGAGTTCACTCGTGCAACAATTGAACTAAACCCCATGTTAAATCATCTTTATAACGCGCTCAAATTCAATGACTCAAAGTTAATGGAGACTTGACACTGACTAAACTTTCAGCCGATTCAAGCAGAAAGGTTGGCTAGACTACATTTTGACGTGGTTACTCAAATTGGACTAAGAACGCAGGTTTTTGTCA